GGTCGGCAGTGCTGACCAGAGCCGCTGGGACCCAGTGCCTTACATTCCACGACCCACAGTCTGAAAACCACTGGATTAGAGTACCTAACATGTCAGAACACAAGGGTACATACCCTACATATCTCTCTACATGTCTAAGCAGTGCTTCCCACACCTACACTACTACTTTTTAGCAGTATAGTGTCCCGCTGCCTCTCCCCTGCCAGAGTCTTTCCTCACCACAGTAAAAGGCTCCCTCCATTGCAAAAGTGCAGAGCTGAGCTATAGCCACTCATTTTGTCCGAATAGACACAATGATGATCAAAGCAGCAGGAAACACCTAAGATGGCACAGCAGCAGTCACAGCTGAACTGCAAGACAGAGTCTGAGGAGAGGCTGCCACTGGCAGGAAGACATGGTAGAAGAGAGCCCCTATCTAACAGGACTCCCAACTGTTGGAAATAGAGTAGGTAACAGGATGTCATCTCCCACATCCCAGAGAAGAGTTGCAGAGGTTGCAGGAGGAACTGTCCCCCATCATCTTAGACTGAAGTGAGGAAAGAAACAGCCAAAAATATCTCGTATACATAAAGGTGGCAGTAAAAGGGACGCCCAAAGCACCTCTTACCTGGGGCACTCACATGGGGTTTTGCACTCTTAGCACGTGCTCAGAGATGAGTTGGAGAGCAGGCAGGGAAGCAAGTTTTTTCTCTTACAGAGGAATCTCAGAATGACCCTTTCACCTGGACTTTGACTTATACTCTTTTCTGTTTCTCTTGGATTGTATTCCTTCCTTCTCTTTTTTATCCATCATCCTTCCACCTGAGGGAACTGGAAGAAGAAAAGCAGAGAGATGAGGCACGGGCTACCTGATTCCAAGACAATGACAGAAAGACACAAGGAGAGATTAGTCTCAATCTGCCTTATTTATTTAAATTAACTTTCTTCTTGATAGGTGGACATTCCATAGTCTCAGATTCATTTTAAGTCATGTAGGAGGAGGCTCTTGTACAGTGGTAATTTTGTTTTCCGTTATCTTCTAAATTGTTTTAAAGTAGAGTCCACAATGTTGAATTTTATCCAAAATTAAAAACACAGAAATAACACAGCATTTCCAGGGAAGAGAAATTATTCAGAATGTAGACATCCATCTCCACGTCCTCTTTCTTGGTCAGCCCACATCACCTCAACCAAACTCACCTTTGAGGAAAGTTCCCTTAATTGTTCACTTTTAACTCTTGATGGAAATACTCTTTTCTTCCCTGCAAGTGTATTTTAATTTTGTACATGCCTTCAAAACCAGTCATTTAAAGTTGTTCCACAGAGAGCAGATCCTCAGTTGGGGTAAACTGTCATAGCTCACTGACTTCAATCAGAACTATGACAATTTACCTCAGTTGAGGATTTGCCCCTGTGCTCTTGTTCATGTCATCAACATATTCAAGTACTTAACCAGATATGTTTCATTACCTCAAATGGAGTAGGATTTTGTCTTTAGAGAGTACATCACCACCTTTGTTCATGCACTGAAACAGAATCCAGTGAAGGAACACAAAGTTATTAGGCCAGATTCTCTATTTCGTTTGGTTCCTTTTACTCCACCTGAGTGGAAACCTCCCACACACATCCAGCAGGGGATACCTCCACATAGGAGTCTCCTCAGAAGGAATAGTGTTGACAGAGCCAATTCTCTACACCTCCCATCTGAACCAGCAACATGCAGTGAAGGGGGAGTGTGTCTAGAGCACAATGCGCTCTGGTAATCCCCAACTGATGTACCGTCCTTAGGCAACCAGTTACCTGTCTGCCTTTCCACCTACCCCTGGAATGCAGTGAAAGACGGATGCCATAAACAATCTGGCCCAATGTGTTTACTTGGTCTAATCTGAATTCTTTCCTTCTGACTCGAAAATCTTGTGCTAAACTCCAAGACTTTCCCCTGAAAAAAACCAAACAAACAAACAAATCACCTTTGCAAACCTCTCTGTTTTGTCCTTGTAATCCTTACATTTCCACTGAAGGCTTTTAGCATTAGAACATCTTTTAGTACTTAAAAGTAAGTGTGAATTACACCTGTAGCCATGTTTATTTGAAATATGGTCAGTACTTAATTGCAATATGCAAGTTCTGCTTCCTCAAGGAAAGTTTCATTGAAACTTACTTGTTTCAGAAGAAACATTTAATAATCAGAAATCATTTTATCTGTAGTGTCTCAATTTTACTAGAATTAGACTATTTGCATTTCAAACCTGTGGTTAAAGAAAATTATCAGGACTATTAAATTCTAGAATCAGAATGCAGACAATGCATTTTAATCAGCTACCACTCAATTCAGGAAATCAAAACTTTTTTATTGTCCTTTCCTCTGAGGTGGCTACAAAGAATGGCTCTCTGCTTACTAAAAATAACATTACCGTGTTAGTTAGCAGTCAGAAAGCTATTTGCTGCAGTGTACCGTCATCTACATTAGGAATTATTTCACTGTAGCTACACAGATGCAACCTCTCCCCTCTCAAAGTACATGCATGGCACTGGTATATAAGTTGAAAACAGGGTAAATTGCAGTCATTCAAATCCCACTTTACACCAATGCAGATTCTCTACACTAATACTGGTATAGCTAAACAGTGCAAAAATTCCTACTGTGGACAAACCTTAATAATCTTTACAATGCAAAGTACGTATTATGCATTACATCCCAAAGTGCTGTATAAAATATCAGATATACAAGCCATACACAGATCATTTAATCTGCCTCTTAAATGCAGCCAATACTAAGGTGAAACATTTTTTTGACAGTGTAGTGGTGGTGTAATAATTTAGGGGAGGAAGTGAATACCACCATATCCAGTTGAAATTGCAGCGAGAGTTTAGGTAGAATTAACATCTTGGGCTGGAATTTTCCCAAAACAGCAGATTTAAAATCTCATCTGGTATACCAACACTATGAGCCTTGGATGACCACTGATATTCATGACTTGTTAATCAGGTGCACTTAGCTTCCTGAGGTGCTAACTCCATGCTAGGATATTGCATCAGTACCAATTTACAAGACTGTCACTTCATCTGTACATATACAGAGTAACCAGATGTCCAGATTTTATAGGGACAGTCCAGATATTTGGGGCATATTTTTTTTTTTACATGGGCTCCTATTACCCCCCCACCATCTGTCCTGATTTTTCACACTTGCGATCTGGTCACCCTACCTATACACTGCGTCTGGGAGCATGCTTCCCAGCTTGAATAGACACGAGCTATCTCCGCTCAAGCTAGCAGGCTAAAAATAGCTGTGTAGCAGCACAGGTGGCAGTTCAGGCTAGCCGCCTGAGTACAACACCACTCAGAACTTCTGGGTACATGCTTGGGCAACTAGCTCACGCCACTGTATGTGCTACTGCTACCCCTGACTACGCTGCTATTTTTAGTGCTCTAGATCAAGTAGAGCTAGCAGATGTCTGCCTGCTCAAGCTGGGAAGCATGGTCCTAGCTGCAGTGTAGAGGTACTCACTGAGTCACCAACACCACTGCCTACACCAGTGGTTCTCAAACTTTTGTACTGGTGACCCCTTTCACATAGCAAGCCTCTGAGTGTGACCCACCACTTATAAATTAAAAACACTTTTTAATATATTTAACACCATTATAAATGCGGGAGGCAAAGCGGGGTTTGGGGTGGAGGCTGACAGCTTGCAACCCCCCATGTAATAACCTCGCAATGCCCTGAGGGGTCCCGACCCCCAGTTTGAGAAGCCCTGGCCTACACAATCTGTATATTCTCTTTCAAGTACTGATCCTTCTACAGTTTAACTTGTGAGAGATCTGAAAGGATTACATCCAAAGATGGAACGGCTACAAATCATATATCATTTTCTTTATCAACTGCTTTGAAATGTATGACTGTTTCTTCTCAAATGAGCCCTTAGAAATAAAAACAAAGCTACTGGAGCTTCTGCAGGATCTCCAAATTTAAAATAGGACAATGACAGGTTAAGTAAATTAGGTATACATTCATCTGAAAAAGGAGTAACAGAGAGCACACTCAAGACCTAGAGATAGGATTCAGATGAGAATAGATAAGATGGATGCCACTGAACTAACAGTGAGCAGCAGACTGAAACAAGAAGGCGCAGACAACTAGGGAGCGTACAGGAAAAAATATATTTATCCTGAGTGGCTTAAACTAAAGGGAGCAATGGGAGCTGCAGCTGCCAACGTAATCAAAAGATTTAGACAAGCACTTAAAAGGTAACAGGATACAAAAGCAAAACAGATTGATCGATTTAGATGGACATTATGGCTCTCCCAGTCACATCCACCTTCTGGCCTAATATTTTACTCTAATACTAGAAATAAATGGCTTTAAAGCAAATCAAATTTTGGGCCTAAACCTTGACAGTCTCCTCTTTCCTAACAATAGCTATCCGGTGGCATATTTCAAAGACTGTGTGGCTATTAATGGTTTATTTTGTTTATAGGACCAGAGTTTTATTTTCAGTATAATTTGGCTGTTAGTTTCCCTTCAGATTTTCATAAAAATTAGAGATTAAGATTCATAAGGTTATCTAGTGCCTTTCCCTAGCTCTGCAGGGTGTGATATATCCTTCATGTTTTAAAATTACCTTATTTTGTGCAAAATAACCTGATTTAAAAAAAAAAAATTGTTCTTGGTTCAGCAAGTTATCTTGTTATAATACTATCTCTGAACAACACTGATAGAATCAGCACAATACCCATATAAATGCTACAGGAAATAGGCTGAAATGGATTCACTCAGAAACAAGGGAAGAACACCAGTAAAGTTCCTATTAACTAATTCACAGAATTTGTATGTAGTTAAATAACCTTGACTTGAATTCTTAACTTTGAATAACTTCAAGTTTTATATTTTGTAACACATCTTAAAATGTATTTTAACACCTTGGAATCTTACTAATAGCTTCACCTACACTGCTCACAGATATAAATTTAATCTGTATTCATGTTAAAAATTATTTTCATGTATCAAGGCTGACATCATGGGTAGTCAAAGAATATGTTTAATAAAAAATAATTAAACTTCCATTTCCTCTATAGAACATCATAGAAAGTAATTCAATAAATTACAAATGACTTTTTAAGACGCTTGTTGAACTACAGAAAGCAAATTCAGACTACACAGAACACAACTGGCAAATATTGCAAATGTCCAAAAGAAAAACTGGACTAAGACTTGTATCATGAAGCCTGAAACAAGGGATAGAAATACAAGGCAGTAACAGCTAAAGTTCTTTTAGTAACTACCAACACACACTTTATCATCACCTTGGGTATCCTTTTAACTGCAACTTCAGTATTAGTGTAAATCTACTGAAGTTTCCTTACAACCCTTAACTTTATACAACCATATTTGCATATTGTTTAGCTGATAGTGGGACACATTTTTCCTCTTCCAATTGATAATGATTAAAAATAAATCCAATACATTATGTTCAAGTCTATATCAGCCTTAATTATTTTAAACTGCAATTGCCTTATTACATAGAAAGAGAATCACTAGAACGGTAAGCAAACTCACTTGACCATAATTAGGAAAATACTTTATTTAATAAATTTGATATAAATTATGTTTTAGCCACAAGATTTAGTATTTCTTTTGTGGGGCAAGGGTGTTGTTGAAATATTCCATCAGCAAACTAAGTTAATAACTGTGTTTGAAAAACTTTGGCTATTTCATAGATGCATCCTAGTTAAACAAAAGTGCTATATTACAAAGGGCAAAAATATTAAATATGCAATACATCCCTTCATGATGAAGAATTGCTACACCCCTCTCTTGGCAGGTTTTAATTTTCACTATTGCTAAGACACTGTATGAAAGGCCAAAAATCAGAATACTATTGTGGGAAAATACAGTAACCAGGACAATCCAAATGGGACTTGTATAATTGTGTAATTACATGTAATACTGCTTCTAATCATGGGGTTAATTATTTTGCACATAGAAACATATAATGTATTGGAAAAGTTCTTGGTAAAAAACAAAAGTCTTGTTTACTATACAAGCGAGCAACAGAACTATATCAAAATATACAGTTTTTTTTTTTTTTTCAAATTTATCCCTTTGAAAAGCTTTTTTCAATGATTTCTACTAGTACCTGTATCTATTCTCTCTGAGCACTTCCCTATCTTGGGCCACAAATGAGATAACTAAAGTCAATCGAAATCTCAGTTCAAACATGTAAGTGTGAATCTGGGCCTCTACCATGTCAGAGTAATAGCAGCTTCAGCAGAAAGAGGAATCATATCACACATCAAATATGAGACTGATTTTATACAGTAAAGGGTTCTAAGGATTTGGGTTTGAACAGATGTCTTATGCCCTCTTATTATTGTTTACAGGAATAACTTATCTGTCTTTACTATTCAAAGTGCTTTTTTAAATTTTAAATTGGGCAACTCAGCATAATATATAAACTAAATCCTCAAGAATGATTTTGGGTAACATTTCGTCATAACGTTTAGTCATATTTAAACCTGTAGAGAAGTCTAAACTCAAAATGAGTTTAAACCATCAATATTCTTCTTTACCATTATTATCTGGTAATCCCGGGAGGCATTGTTACATAAAACACAAATAAAAATCAACACAAACAAAGCAAACAAACATTTTTTTACATGAAGTATGCAGTGTTGAAAGGTCTTTTCAGTGGCACTTCATGACAGTTTGCCTTTTCTGAGTTTTGGGGATACTATTCCTCAATCAGGACCTCGTATTTCTGTGGTGGGAGCCCAAAACTTTGCAAGGTTTAAACTAAATAGGTCTCTGTGGTGCCAAAGTAGGATGAGATAGGAATATTTTGTGTCAACTTCCCTTTACTGTTATCAAAGAACGCGTTTGATCAGCAAAAACAGTCCTATCTCCTGCCAGATTAACATATCATAGAGGGTGTGTTTAAAAACAAAACAAAACCCGAAAACAAGTATAGAAACCAATGTAAACTTCCTAAACTAACTCAGCTGAGGTAACAGATAGCCAGTTTAACTGGCTGACTGGGAAACTTTTTTCCTCCTTTTAAACACACTTGTACCTGAATTGGAAACATCAGCAGTGCATCGCAACACTATAGCATTTTCATGTAATTAAAGCAATGGATGGTGATTTAGATTCTACAGCTTTCATGACATTCATTAGCTGCCCAAATTATTGCTGAGTTTTGATCTGTAAATTATAAGTGTCAAGGAGGCTGTAAAACTATATTCAAATTAAATCAATAATATGCCTAAAATATTCTGTGTTCACTGCAAATATATTAAATATACAGCTCTTACTGAGCATTATTTTCATAAAATAACCTCCCAAAATTATGCCATTTGTTGTAATTTTACACCATTGTGTATTGATAGTACATACAAGTTCAGAAACTTATGAACTTCAAGAAATATTACATGCAAAACATCTCTGAAAGCAGTTTGCACTTCTAAACAAATACTGAAAGTTGAGTCAATAAATCATTTGATGAGCTCAACACTGGGCTATTTACAATGAAATAATTAAAGAATAAATTCAAAATTAGTTCATAATTTAAGTACATAGTCTGGGGTCAGTCTTCATCACTAGAATCTGAATCTTCAGATGAAGACGATGTACTGTCAGATCCAGATGAAGCATCTGCTTTCTCTGAACCCTCATCTGTGCTGTTTTCATTATGAGAGCTTGGCTCTGTTCCCCCTTTGTCTTCCTGATCTCTAACCCTAGAATTTTTCTCCTTTTCCTCTGTAGGCTTGGCTGATCCTGTGTCATTGTTTTCAGCATTCTGTACATCAAAAATATTGGATTGGGACAATGCTGGGATATGAAGATTAAGGCCTGGAGTGAGAAGCATCCCTGGATAAAGTATATTGGACAAAAGTAATGGGTTAAGAGCTAAAGGGTTGGCAGCAGCAGAGGACGTAGAGGGAGAACTTGACACAGAGTCTTCACCACCATTATCTGCATGTTGGTTTTCTGTCCTTTCTTTCTTTACAACTGGCTCTTTTGAGTCATTTCCCTTTTTCTCCTCTGAAACAGATTCTGTTGACTTTGTTAGGAGTCCTCCCATACCCAGCAAGTTTGGTAATCCAGCCATTCCTGACAGTAGCATGGGAAACATGGCAGCCATATTCTTAGCTTCTCCTCCAGTAGTTAGTCCAGCAGGCATTCCCATTAATCCTGCTGTTACTTGAAGTGATTGCAAGTTCTGCAGGTTTTGTTGTAAGGCCTGAAGAGTAGATAGATCCACTCCTGGAAGTAATCCATTGGCTAGCAAAGGGTTGACCGAAACATTTGCTGCTGTTGCAGCTGCTGCTGCTGCAGCTGTTGCCTTGGCAATCTCACTTTTAGGCCGTCTCCCTCTCCTGCTTACTTCTTCTCGTACAACAGGCCCAGTGAGAATACGGTCAAACATACCTTCAGGAAGAAATCCCTGAAACAGATACATTCTATATTAATATATGAAAATGAATGCCACTACAGGAAGATAAGGTTAAAGATATGTCGTTAAAATTAAATACTCAAGAATAGTTCCAAAAACTATTCTGTTTAACTAAATTTAGCACAGCAGTTTGATTAACCAGACAACTCCCTGAAAGTTTGTGACTGATCTGTGCTGCCACTTCCCAAAGGTACCTCATTCAAGCCTCAATCCTGCCATGAGCCCTGTAACCCTGAATAGTCCTCTGTACCCACGTTGATACCTACTACCTTTAATGGGGCTCTCCACAGGCCCAGAGGATCATCCTCACAGGGTTTATTGTAGGATTTGGCCTAAGCAATCTGAATTTAAGATTTAAAATCTAGTGTGGATTTAGGATCTTTCAACAGATTTTAGTGTAATTTCCAGATTCCAATAATTTATTTGATTTTTTTAAATGCCTAGTTACTGTGATTACACAGGTAACAGAGCTATCTAATATAACAGGAAAAATAATTGTGCATTTTAATGTGGAGCCATAATCTGTGAACATTTTAATGTTTATTAGTATCTATTTCATCCTATCAAATTTCATCCTTTCTTCACATTTCACACAAGCTACTAAAGACTGAAAGTCCAAATAAATTGAAATCGAAGACACTTAAAATCTTCTCTTGGGACCTAGAATGGTGTTCTGCCATCTATGTAAGTCCTATCTAATGGCAAAGATAGGACTCTAATTGTGCTCTGGTGTTCTTTTTGAAGTGCAGTTTTGCCTTGAAAACTGACTATAAAAATGGCACCACAGGATTCAATGATTGTAAAATATGAAGTTTGCTCAGTATACAAGATCCCCTAATTTTAAAAAAATTGTCAGCCCTCATTCAACCAAGGATTTGAAAATCAAGCTCTATTCTTTCTGCTTTCAGGATCACCATTACAAAAATCTACAGGGCAAATTCTATTCTCTCTTATATTGTGGTAATCATTGTCACCAGTTCTGCTCCCGGTTACTGCTGTGATACTTCATTACCCTAAATGGAGGTGCCTGGGTATAAAAGAGGGCAGAACCTAGTCCTGCAACTGGAACTTTACAATTCTGTTGGCATATTAACCAGAACAGAATCTAGCTCATTGTTAGCTGTACTGGCGCTGTTATAACAATAAGAAAAAAAAATAGTAAAAATTACGTTGTCACTAAAGCAAGTGCTCAGAACTTTCAATAAATGTAAGGATGAGGTAAGTAAGAAAATACCACTTTAAATACCGTAGTACTTATGATTAACTGCAAAAACCTAAAATGTTGTTAAATAAATAAAAACCTGCAATCCTCCGCCTGAGGCTGACTGTGTACAGCAAATGTAACACAATCCCTACCAGTTCTGGCAGGTGGGTATACAGACTTCACAGGATTACCACCAGAAATTATCTTCATCTCTATGGGAGACATGAGGAGTGGAAGGGTAAATAAAGTTCCCCAGAGCAGGATTTTGCTATCCAACATTTTGAGGCCTGGACCTCTAGTCACTTATATTTGCATGGAAATAAAGGATGGTGGGTTTACAGCTATGTGTCCATAGGTGGGTGGTAGTGGTGTTGTGTGTTTTAAAAAAAAAAAAAAAAAGCACATCCCAATAAAACAAAGGACAGATGAATCAGATATACAGTTTTCACAATGAAAATATATGCATGCTATTTTGCTGAGCCTGCAGACAAAAAACAGCATCCATAATTAAGTGAAATTTTCCCTTTCAACTTACTGGGGTACAAATCTCAAATAAAATGATCCGTGTTATTTTGATCACTGCACTTATAACAGACTGTCACTTTTTACAGATAACAGAATTTGGTTTTTGGGTTTGTTTTTTCATTGCAGAAATAAAAACATCCTTGTAGATTCCTTCTTCCGTACCACATGTCCCATGAGATTTGGATATTTCCTACTAATTCTACAGAGAGGGGAAAATTTGTAAGTGGCCTCAGAAATTGTGGTCACAAATTTTTGTGTACACCTATGTGTGCACAAAGTCTACATTTGGTAAATTAGGTTGGCACATGCACAATTATTTGATCTGCAAATGTGAATGCAAACTGTGTGTCCACGAATAGCTGCAAATGCAGTTTTTCAAATTGTATATTAAAATTTGATCTACAATGTAGAAGGGGCTGCAATACATATATATTCTTAGAGCTACATTCATAAGTCCTAACCTGGGAAAAACTACACATTAGATGCATCTTGCTGTTGGCATTAAGCTGCTCCAGTGCCAGTGGGAGCATGTTCCTTCTGTTACACATTTCTAGTAGCACATACAGAGTGGAGAGCCAAACAGAAGGAACTGCGTGGGTGAGGCCAGGGCAGCACAAACCATTCTCCTGGAAATTAGAGGGCACAAGACACTAGAGTAAAATTTTCTGAAGTGCCAACTGATTCAGGAGCCTACGTCACATATGAACATGAGACTATAAGCAATTCAGAAAATTTTGCTGTAAGTCTAGTTTATGATCTCTACTTTAAAACCCTGCTCACTGTAGAGCTGTAAATATTAAGCATATTTTTTTAGTTTACAAGGACAGGTGTAGGACACCCCACACAATTGAACTTTTGCTACATATAAATCTCGCTTCCACTGGAATCTGCCTAACAGTACAGTTCTGAACTAGAAAATAAAATGCAGAAGATAATAGCTATTTTAATAAATAGTTGTCTCTTAATTTAGATACGTAGTATAATTAAATCAATCTTCAAAAATTCTACTTGCTCATTTTCCCAGGGCAAGTAATTGTATTTTGATGGCGAATTAAAATTTTAATTTTGTAATTACCTTCATCATTGTGGCAAAGGAGAGAGAAGTAGATACCATGGGTAGGCAGGCAGATTTTCCTAAGAGCATCCAAAGGTATATTAAACAATAGTTGACTGACTTTAGTACCTGAATCTAATGCTAGTATCTGTCTGTCTCTTTCTTTAAATAATAATAAAAAAAAAAAAGAGAGCAGACTTCACATCATAGATCATGATATTGTTCATCCTGTAAATACTCACAGACTGTTTCACAACATCTCCCCATTCAGGAGCTACTCCATACTCAGGATTTTCTTTCAAGAATCTGCACAAGTCCTTCAGCGGTGGAGCAAAAGCACCTCCCACCTAAAAAATAAAAGAAACATTTCTCAGTTTACTTTGGATTTTCCTGATTTGATACTCTGGTTTCATTTATGTCTTTTTCAAAAAAATCAAATGTAACCTGACCGCATTAGAAAGCAAAACAGCACTCCAGGTTTATCATTAGTTTCTGTCAGAATGGAATAGAATAGGTACTCTTTAATTTGTTCCAGATGTCGGCAGCCACTAAACTCGCACAGAGCAACTTCAATATCTGACAATCTTACTAATGTAAGATTTAGTATAAATGCCAGGGCTCATTTCAGAAGCGTACTGAAATGGGATAGTGTCACACTAATAATGAATATGTGAAAATAGGTGTCAAAGTTTTAGAAGGAGAATTCATACTCCTTTTGTTTATTAAAAATGTCTTACCTTTTGGTGGGTGAATCAGTTCTACCCTATGACCCCTGAATCTGCTTTTCAAGAGGCACCCTTCTTGTCTAATAAGAGCTGCTCTTTCTGGCAGGGTAAATTATTTATTTTCTTATACTTTCCCCCACACACAAAAATCAAACTTTTAATTTTGAGTTAAGGTTGCTAAACAGCATATCCCATCAATGTAACCCATAAAAAGCAAGGAAATAAGCAGTTAAGTCATCAAAAACTCCTGTAATCAACTCCCCTTTTTACATCTCATCATGATATGGAAGGGGAGAAGTACGGTTTGATCTAGGACAGAGCTGAATGAAAGAAGGAGAGGGAAGAGGAGCGCTTCCTCTTTGTTTTTCTCCACTCAAGCTCCTTTCAGCTGAAGCCTCATTTTTAATTCACACTCCCCATGTCCTCCACATCTCTGTTAACTGCTAGACCTTCTCTAACCAGCTCTTCATCCCTCCTTGGCAGTGACAGATTAGCCACTGGGCCAAAGGGGCCTGTGCGTAGTGCTGGGCGGGCGGGGGGCTGGGCAAGCCCCCGTGCTCTGACCCCATTTCTCTAGCAGGGGTGCCGGGGGGCCCACGTGCACTTGTTCTGGTCCAGGGCCCCACAAAACAGAAATCCGCCTCTGCTCCTTGGCTCCCCACGGGGCTGCTGCATGGAGAACTGAGAGAACCAAAAAGGAAAGAGCAGAAATGAGCCAGGGGATCAGGGATGTTGGGGCAAGGTAGTGATTGGGAACATAGAAGGTAATGGGGCAGGCAGTTTACAGTGATGAATCTCATTGCAGCAAAGGAGTATCACTGTGCAGGCAGCTTGTGGTGGGGAGAGCTCAAATGTCTCTGCACTGGGACAACCTCCTTTGATAGGGTTCCCCAGTGCTGTTGGCTCAGCTCCCTGGGGTACACTCTGTTCTCCCATGGTGGTATGTGTGTCAAGGCACTGACACTGGCTCCTCCTGGGGCTGCTACCTCAGTGCATTGGGGAGCTTAGGGGAGTCCTTCCAATGCTGGTACAGTCCTTGGTACAGAGACACTGGGATTCCCTCATTTTAGACCCCCCGCCTCCCCCACCAAACACACATATCCAGGCCTTCCTGAATCCTGCGCTCCATCCAGGCAGCTTTATGAATGAGTTGGAGGTATTAGAGGGCCTAAAAATTGGGCACTGGGGAGCGAGTGGCTAGCAAGGGCAAGGTGGTTTGGGGATTTTAGGTGGAGAAGCATGTTTTGACTAGGGGTCCTCAGGCCACAGAAGAGGCTTCGGAGACCAGTGCTTTTGAGGTAACGGTGCTTTATTTCCCTGCACATTACCCTTCCTCAAAGCCCAGCTGAATTCCTTCATGCCCTTCGCAAACCCTGATCCATCTGCCTGCAATTCCACATCCCTACCCCAAGCCACATCTTTCCCCCAGAACAGTTCCCTTTACCCTGCTATGAAACCTGGCAACCTGACTCAATGGACATGTTGGTGAATCAGAATGCAGGTTGGCAGAATGAACACAGAAACAGCTGACAAATCTGAGCAATTCTACTGGTCAGTCCGAGTGCAAGAAAACCTATTCAATTAATTTTAAAAACCTTGAAAGTAGATGATGTCTGAAATATAATAGAAGGTATGTGACACGTTTAGAATTTCTGGTGTTTGTGGCTGTTTAGCTACAGTCATCCAAAGAAGTGTATGTAAAGCAAGGCAAAACTTCAAGGGGGCATTTTTCAAGTGTTTTCTTTGGAAAAGTTAGCAAACTTTTTATTAAGAAAGATTACATAGATCATTAAATTGTCCTCTGAAAAGTTGTAGTGAACTTGCTGAAAGTGTAATTCTCAACACAATCATAACTAAGGAATCACTACTTATCCAATATACCCCTCCCCCCTTCTGTTTGTTCTCTCTTTGTTTTATCTCCCATTAAGGCTCCTTTGTCTCCATCACCCATCAGAGGCTACTCACATTTGTCTTTGGAAGTGACAGACTGGACATGACTGAGAAGTCAACACTCGCCAAAAGATGCTATACCATCAGCGTACTTATTTTCTATTCTAAATATTGGTGTGAACTGTAGTATCTTGGATACCACTCCATGCCAAAACAGTAACATTATAATAGCAAGCCCTGTATTTGTGATAGATATTTAACACCAGTAACACTAGCGTTGAGATCTATTCTTGATCAGACAACACAAAATGCTGTCTTTGGAGAATAAAAATCATGAGATGTCTAACAGACCGAATATACAACCATATAACCTGAAATGAATCATGCATGGAGAGGATTTACACACTCACAAAAAATCAAATGTTGAAGAAACAGGACTGGAAGCTTTATCATTTTGGCTGTGATCTTTGAGAGCTCCTATTAAGGAGGATTGTGATGGGTCATTACTTTGACAGAAGACCTCCAAGGTTCTGAAGAAGTGGTTGGTGATCATTTTTCCCTCCAAAGTCAGTTTAGAACAAATATAACTGCGGGTCTTGTGATGCTGAGGATTACAATTTTCAGGTGACATTTAACACTAAGGCCTTGACCTCTCATACCACAGCAATTTTTGCAAGAGCAGGGTTGTTAATCCTGGTGTTCTGGCCCAATTCAACTTGGGTAATTATGTTCTGCCTACCTACAATTCTCCCTGTTATTTCAACTGGATAGGGCATTCTTCACTTTCTGTCCTAAACTGTCGAGCAATATTCCTGGGGACTTTTAAACGGTTAAAACACTTCCATGATGGGTGAAGTGATTTTGTAAATAACTTTGAGATCCTTCTGCACGAAAGGTGTTCTATAAATGCAAGCCATCATTATATGTCAAGCATCACAGACTTCTCAGTAAAAGTTACTACACTTCTGTAATAATGGATATTTTCAAGAATTTACAGAACCAACACCAAACTACATCAAGATTCAGCCTGTTAGTGAAGCGTACTTTCAGTGTTCTACAGTAAAAAGCCACATCATCTGCAGGCTTTGGCCTTTAAACTTTTGCCTTCAACCACACAATAATACATCAGTAATCTACTAATTCACACATTGGTGAGGCTTATTGCAAACTCCACTTAAGCAACAACTAAACACATGCTAAAGTAGTTTATGAAACTCTCCTTCCATTATGTAAGAACTGTTCCTAGTAGACGGATAATAGGAAATACTAGAAAAAAGGTTTTCTATGCAATTTTAAATATATTTAAATTAATTTTCAGTAACTTGTTTTCTTTATTGTTAAGTTTCCACCGACTCCTTGGATCCCTTTTCTCTCTTCTTATTCCCGCAGTTTCCTAAAGCCCCTTCCGAAGCACACATTGCATCCCTCTTGTTGAGTTCCAGGTCATTTTCAACAGTAACTAAACTGAGAATATTGAATAAATTATTATTTAATTTTTGAAACAGAAACTGAAAATTGAAAGTGTCCAGAGGTTCAAAGGTACTGGGGCTCATGAGACGAGATCATTTTAAAACCATCTCACCTCTTGGGTCTTTAAGTACATGACCCTCTAGTGTTAGCAGCCCATCATTAGCTAAGGGGACATTTCTTCTCCTCTATCATCCTATAAGGGTACAAGAGGATGAGAGGAGAAAGCTATAGATTTTGTGGAGTGGGATATGCTGTGCTTGTACAAGTTGAGCCACCAGAAGCTGTTGCAAGAACCATGATGAAAGAGAAGAAAGGAAATTTTCACCTGCTAAGTAGAGGTCTGCTTGTGCCTAATTTTTAGGCCTGACCCAGACTCAAGCCCACTTGAGCAAGTCAAGTCATTTTCCAACCCAACCCAGACCCTTTCCCACAAACCTTAGTCAGCATCATCACAGCCACCTCTTGCCCAAGGAGCTGACTCTCCTCCTCCTCCAGCCCAAGGGGTTGCCGTGGCAGCAGCTACATGCCCCGCTGATGCCATCCACTGCCCCTTGCTGTGCTGCCTGCGCTGTGGAGGGGGAGGCGCTGTGCTCCTTTCCACGCTCACTCTGCAGCATAACAGTGCAGCAAGGGGAGGATGGCCTGTGGCATGGGGCATGCAGCCGCCGCCATGCCAACCCCACAAGCGGGAGGACGACAACTGACCTGAACCAATACCAGGAGGGTCCTTTTGTTTTCCCATCTGACCCAGACCCAACATTTGTAGTTGTGCCCCACAGGATGCAGGTCAGGTCTACTCTTGCACTTGCAAACCTGGTGAATTCTTTTTTGCACTCACACTACGAATCATGCAGAAATTACTGGCAGCTCAGCCCGCTCAACTCTGTAGATTTACCCAACACACACACAGTAGCTCTAAAACGGTCTTTACCCTGCCAGGACGCTGCAGAAGAAATGTCCTTTAATGAGCTGTTAACATTAGAGGGATATGTGTTTGCAGACAGAAGAGTGAGGTGCCAGGAAATCTAGTCATTAGTATGTCTGTTTAAATAAAACTTTTAACCCAAGTAAGAGGCAACAGCACTTCAGAAATTTTTAATAAAATTATTTGCTGGAAATATTTATACTAAGTTAACTCTGGCAGGGATGGTCTAGAAATATCCAGAGAGGGGGTGACAACTGCATTTTAGCTTAAAAAAAAGTTTTCCATCTTCTGTGAAAGAAAAATTACAGTGTTAAAACATCAATTTAAGAATATCCCCCTAATAAGCTTAAACAAATCCAGAGCAGCTCCCACTTATCAATCTGTTTTTCCACACGGTGACTCCAACCTTATAGCTGCATTTTCACAGTACTTGATCATTCAGAATTTACTCGTTATTATGAAGCCTCAGTTTAATACTGTACTATTCTTAGTAGATGAAATTCACCCCAGAGCTGGGGGCTCCTGCATGGCCCTATAAACTTCTTCAAATTTTTTAACATGGGTTTGGAGTAGTGCATAGGACATTGTGCAGGCCCTCTGCATTGGCTGAACTCCACTGAACAGAAACATACAATGCTGTATATTCACTTAGTGCGTGTAATTTTGCACAGAATCTCCAGAATAATTTTGCAGCAACTTATTAAAGTTTCTCCGTTTACTAAATCCTGATTTAAACACTATAATTACGCTTCATGTCCCATTTACAAAACAACTTAATAAAACAAACTTTAGACTGTGCATAAGGACTTCCTAGCAGAAGATGTGAAAACTTCATTTCACATAAATTTTGTGTTTGGGGAAAGGGTGAGTGGACACAGTAATATGATTACCTTTCTAGCATTTCTTCTATTGATCAGCTGAACACGTTCTTCACCAGTGAGACTATTAACATCCAGTTTATTAGGGTTTCGACAACGGTGCCTTTTTTGTTTGGGCCTCCCATCATGAAGCTGCATTCTCTGTTTTAGAGGGATTTAAAAAATGAATTATAAATCTTAGTCTTCTAGGAAAACTACTTACAAAAGTGCTGAGAAAGTTGACTTGTTTATTTATTCTTATAAACCACCCTCTCATTTTAAGGTAAATGCTTTCATATTTCCAACATCACAAGCAGTCTTACCTTGTACAGTAACTTCTCACTTAACGTTGTAGTTATGTTCCTGAAAAATGCTACGTTAAGCAAAACGATGGTAAGCGAACCCAATTTCCCCATAAGAATTAATGTAAATGGGGGGGGGGGGGGGCTAGGTTCCATGGAATTTTTTTTCGTCAGATAAAAGACTATATGCATATATACACACACACACAGTATAAGTTTTAAACAAACAATTTAATACTGTACACAGCAATGATGATTGTGAAGCTTGGTTGAAGTGATGAAGTTAGAGGGTGGAAGAGAGTGGGATATTTCCCAGGGAATGCCTTACTGCTAAATGATGAACTAGCACTTGGCTGTGCCCTCAAGGGTTAACACATTGTTAATGGAGCCTCACACTCTACAAGGCAGCACGAATGGAGGGAGGGGAGACAGCATGGCAGAGAGAGCGACACACCGTGTGTGTGTGTTTGTGTGAGAGAGAGGTGCATGCTCCTTTAAGTACAATGACACCACTCTAAGTACATTGCCTTTTTAATGACAAGTTTCAGAGTAGCAGCTGTGTTAGTCTGTATCCGCAAAAAGAACAGGAGTACTTGTGGCACCTTAGAAACTAACAAATTTATCTGAGCATAAGCTTTTGTTAGTCTCTAAGGTGCCACAAGTACTCCTGTTCTTATTGCCTTTTTAAGTAGATCAGCAAGTTGAGACAGCAGCTGCGGCCAGCAAGCTGACAGGGCTCAGGACGGAGGCATGTCCCCCCGCTGCCCTGTGGAAATAGGTTAAAGTAGTGGGGAGCAGGAGCGGGGGAAGAAGACACCCTGACATTAGCCACCCACACAGCTACCTCCCGCACAGCAAGCAGGAGGTCCTGGGAGCAGCTGCAAGGCAGAGGGCAGGAGCAGCACATGGCAGTGGGGGGAGGGACAGCTGACAGCTGTGGGCAACTGATAGCCTGCTGGACAGCTGCTGCAGAGGGAACTTAGGAGAGTGGGGAGCTGATGGGGGGCTGACGGCCCATCCTGGTTCCAAGTCCCCATCAGCTAGCTCCAACAGGCTGCTCTTTCTCCAAGCCGTGGACAAAGCAGGCAGCTGCCAAACGATGTTATAAGGGAGCATTAAGCAACTTTAAACGAGCATGTTTTCTAATTGATCAGCAACGTAACAACAAAATAACGTTAACCGGGAAGACTTTAATTGAGGAGTTACTGTACAGCTGTTGTCTTCTGATTTTAAAAACTGAGACAGAGTCTCAAAGCAGCGCATGGCCAAATCCCCTGCACTACTCTGAAAATCTCAGTATAAAATTCTGGACATTCATACTATGTTCTTTTAAAATTTATCAATACACTTAGAATTTTTTTTCCAATTATACATTTACATATCAGCTGGTCAACATATGGTAGAGTAATGGCATTCACTGGGATGTAATGAGTATGAAACACTAAGTTGTCACTCCCAGTTGCCAGTTTGCTGGGGGAGGAGAGTGGTGGAAAGGACAACAGAAAAAGGAAAACTGAGGTAACAAATGAAATAGGACGCTCTTTGAGATGTGTGATCTGTGTTCCACACATGGATACGCATGCACACCACATGTCTGAGTCCAGAATTTTTTGCAAGTAGCATCTTTTAACCCACACATGTGCAATGGCTCTCCTTGTGCTACAAACCGAGGGCATAAAGGACGGTCTGGGCCGATGCCTCTCCAGTTCCTACTCTTACCTAATATCCAAAAAATCCGGAGCAGAGGGAAGGGAGTGGAATACAGATAGGGACTGCACATCTTGAAGAACCTCCAGTTACAGATAAGTAACCTCCATTTCTTCTTCAAGTGATAGTCCCTATGTGTATTCCATAGGTGAGAGATTAACAAGCAGCATTCAAACAGACGGTGGGTGTGAGGATGAAGAAGTGAGAGCTGACTAATACTGCTATCCTTACAGCTGTATCTGCCAGAGAAGATGGACCAAAGCATAATATATTGTGAAGATATGCAAGGAGCTCCCAGTAGCTGCCCTACATCTCTCTTCTAGATATCAGCCTCCTGGCAGGGTAGAGACAGATCTGGTCTACACTACAGGGTTAGGTCGAATTTAGCTGCGTTAGGTCGATTTAAAAATGATTGTGTCCACACAACCAACCCCGTTCTGTCGACCTAAAGGGCTCTTAAAATCGACTTCTGTACTCCTCCCCGACGAGGGGAGTAGTGTTAAAATCGACCTTGCTGAGTAGAATTTGGGGTAGCGCAGACACAAATCAACAGTACTGGCCTCCGGGAGCTATCCTAGAGTGCTCCATTGTGACAGCTCTGGACAGCGCTTTGAACTCCGATGCACTACCAGCTACACAGGGAAAGCCCTGGGAACTTTTGAATTTCATTTCCTGTTTGTTCAGTGTGCCAAACTCAGCAGCACAGGTGACCATGCAGTCCCCCAGAATTGCAAACGAGCTCCAGCATGGACTGAAAGGGAGACACTGGATCTGATTGCTGTATGGGGAGAAGCATCTGTGCAGGCCAAACTCTGATCAAAAAGAAGAAATGCAAATATATTTGCCAAAATCTCACAGGGCATGTTGGACAGAGGCTACAACAGGGATAGTTCCCGGAGACCAATACCGTCTGTTGGGGGAGCAAACGGAGACGAAGAAGCGTCTGTTGGAGCTGCAGGAAAACCAACAAGAGCACAGACCCCCGCTGCATCCACCGTATAACTGCATACCTTCCTTCTGAAGTTCCATATCCGCCTCACCCAGATGCCCAAGAATGGGGGGGTGAGGAGGGCGCGCTCCGGGCACCCAGCCACTCCACTCCAGAGGACGGCCCAAACAACAGAAGGCTGTCATTCAAACAGTTTGATTTTTAGTGTGGCTATAACAAACAATGTGGCCTTGTTCTTCCCTCCTCTCCCGCCCCACCTGGGCTACCTTGTCCGTTATCTCTTTTTTTAATTAATAAAGAAAGAATGCTTGGTTTCAAAACAGTAGTTACTTTATTTCGAAGGGGAGAGGGTTGTTGGCTTACAGGGAATTAAAATCAACAAAGGGGGTGGGTTTGCATCAAGGAGAAACACACACAACTGTCGCATCGAAGCCTAGCCAGTCATGAAACTGGTTTTCAAAGCCTCTCTGATGCGCAGCACGCCTTGCTATGCTCTTCTAATCGCCCTGGTGTCTGGCTGCTCAAAATCGGATGCCAGGCGATTTGCCTCAACTCCCACCCCGCCATAAACGTCTCCCCCTTACTCTCACAGAAATTATGGAGCACACAGCAAGCAGCAATAACAATGGGAATGTTGGTTGCGCTGAGGTCTGACCTAGTCAGCAAACAGCACCAGCGAGCTTTTAAGTGTCCAAAGGCACATTCCACCACCATTCTGCACTTGCTCAGCCTATAGTTGAACTGCTCCTTACTACTGTCCAGGCTGCCTGTTTAAGGCTTCATGAGCCAGGGAGCAAGGGATAAGCTGGTTCCCCAAGGATAACTATTGGCATTTCAACATCCCCAACGGTAATTTTCTGGTCTGGGAAGTAAGTCCCTTCTTGCAGCTGCTCAAACAGCCCAGAGTTCCTAAATATGCGAGTGTCATGCACCTGTTCCAGCCATCCCAAGTTGATGTTGGTGAAATGTCCCTTGTGATCCACCAGTGCTTGCAGCACCTTTGAGAAGTACCCCTTGCAGTTCACATACTGGTTGGCAAGGTGGTCCAGTGCCAAGATGGGGATATGCAATCCGTCTATCGCTCCACTACAGTTAGGGAACCCCATTGCAGCAAAGCCTGCACATTTCCCAGAGTCACTACCCTTGATAACAGAACATCAATGATTGCATTGGCTACTTGGATCACAGCAGCCCCCACAGTAGACTTGCCCACTCCAAACTGATTCCTGACTGACTGGTAGCAGTCAGGCATTGCAAGCTTCCACAGGGCTATCGCTACTTGCTTCTCAATTGTCAGGGCAGCTCTCATCTTGGTATTCCTGCGCTTCAGGGTGGGGGAAAGCAACTCACAGAGTTCCAGGAAGTGGCCTTACGTATGCAGAAGTTTCACAGCCACTGTGAATCATCCCATACCTGCAATACTATGTGGTTCCACCAGTCTGTGCTTGTTTGCCTGGCCCAGAATCGGTGTTCCACTGTATCAACCAGTCCCCCTGCTGCCATAATGTCCCAATTGCCACAGCCCGTGCTTTCAGGAATGTCTGTGTCCATGTCCTCATCAAAATCCTCCTTGTGCTGGCGTCTCTTAGCCCGTTCTGCATATACTCTAGGATAATGCACGAGGTGTTTACAATGCTCACAACAGCAGCAGTGACGGTGAGCTGAGCGGGCTCCATGCTTGCCATGGTATGGTGTCTGCACAGGTAAACCAAGAAAAAAGGCGCAAAACTATTGTCTGCCGTTTCTTTCACAGAGAGAGGGGTGACTAATGCCATGTACCCGAAACCACCCACGACAATGTTTTCGCCCCATCAGGCACTGGGATCTTAACCCAGAATTCCAATGGGCAGCGGAGACTGTGGGAACTGTGGGATAGCTATCCACAGTGCATCACTCTGTAAGTCGATGCTAGCCATGGTAGCGAGGACGCACTCCTCTGACTTAATGCACTTAGTGGGGACATACACAGTCGACTGTATAAAATTGATGTCTAAAAATTGATTTCTATAAAATCGACCTAATTTTGTAGTGTAGACATACCCACAGTTTCAGAGATGTAGCAGAGGTTCCTTGAGCTCTGATAGAATGAGCCCTCACTCCCTCTGGGAAGAGGAGGAAAATGTGAGCTAGCAGATAACACAAAGGATAATACAATCAGACATCCATTTCGAAAATCTCTAAACACATACAGCTTGACCCCATGATCTCTTTGCTATGGAAAGAAATAGTTTAGATGTCTTTCTAATGTCTTTTGTTCTTTTTAGGTAAAAGGCCTACTGGACAAAAGGCCCTTGTAAGTAAAAGGCCCTTTGGACATCCAGAGAATGCAGCCTCCTCATTTCATCCGAGGCACGTGGTTAAGAGAGGAAAATAGCAGTAAGTGGATGGTATGAGTCATATGAAACTCAGAAACTTCTTTAAGGATGAATTTGGGGTGGGATGTAATGAGACTTTTTCTTTATAGAAGTCAGTATATGGCTGGTTTGCCGTAAGTGCCCCCAGCTTGCTGAATCTTCTGGCTGATGTTATAGTGATTAGAAAGGCCAACTTCATAGACAGATGGACCACAGAGCATGTGACCAGAGGCTTGAGGGGATGCTGGTGAGAAATGACAGAACAAAACTGAAGTCCCACTGAGGTGCAAACTTCACCAACAGTGGAAAGGATCTAAGAAGCCCCTTCAAAAAACGAGTTGTGAAAGGATGAGTGAAATCATGTGGTTATCTGCCAGAGGATGAAAAGCACTGATTGCTGCTAAATGCACCTAGAAGGAACTGAAAGTGAGACCTGGAGACTGATAAGTAAGAAAATATTCTAGGATAGCAGGGATTCCAGCCAGTTCTGGTGTTGCTGAGCCCAAGTGGAAAAATGCTTCCATTAGGCTGAATAACATATCTTAGTAGAGTCTTTTCTGCTTTGTTAAGGATAGATTGAACCATTCTGGAACATGAGCACTTTACATGTGATGCCTATTCAAATACTAAGCTATGATCTGCAGTGGTTCTGGAATGGGGGTGCCTGAAAATGCCTTTGTGTTGTGTTAGAAGGTCTGGAAATAGGCAGATGTTTATGGTGGCTGAGCTGAGGCCTTCAGTAGATCTGTAAACCAGAACTGTCTCAGCCAATTTTATACAGATTCACAGATTCCAAGGCCAGAAGGGACCATTGTGATCATCTAGTTGGGCACAATAAGGATGACTCGAGCTCTGTCTTGAGAGATTTTCTATAGAACTTGTGGTATTAATGGAATGGGAGGAATGGCATACTTCAGGTGATCCTTTCATAGTAGCAGAATCAGAATAATAGAATATTAGGGTTGGAAGAGACCTCAGGCAGTCATCTAGTCCAATCCCCTGCTCAAAGCAGGACCAACCTCAACTAAATCATCCCAGCTAAGGCTTTGTCAAGCTGGGCCTTAAAAACCTCTAAGGATGGAAGAGCAGAAGAGCATCTCCCAATGAGACCCTGCCCAGGGCTGCTCTGGGGCAGTATGGGGGATGTTTTTGTTCATGTGTGAGGCAAAAAGGTTTGAGGCTGGCATTTCCCATTGGGTGAAGATCTTGCTGAGAACCAAACTGTGACTTTCCCATTCATGGGTAGCAGAAAAATGTTTGCTGAGATGTCTGCTAGGGAATTCTGCACCCCCTGGTAAGTATACTCCTGAAAGGGGTATGTGATGGCTGATGCATCATTCCAGAGGTTGACTGCCTCTATACAAAGTGGAATGGGGCTCTCGTTTCCCATACTTGTATATATAGAATATAGTTATCCTAATGTCCAACATTACTTGAACATGCCAGGATCAGGTAAGTGGGAGGAAGGCGTTGCGGGCTCAATGAACCCCTTGAGTTCTATTCCTTTGCATTCTGGACTCCCTAAAGGTCCACAGGCCCTATGCTGTATGATCACCCATATGACCATCCTAACCTAAGAGGCATGCATCAGTCAAGATGACTGCGTTGGGAGTCAGTGTGAAGGAAGGGATCCCCACCTGAACTTTGGCTTTGTTAACCAGATGACAGAGTCCAAAACCTTGGATGGAATTGCCACCAGAGATAATTGATGTTATCTCTCTCTGGTGAGTACACAGAGAGAAGACAGGCTTGACAACAATGAAGATGAAGCCTGGAAAATGACATCATGTGTGTACATGGTGCCATGTGGCTGAGAAGGGAAAGGCAAGTTCTGATTGAGGTCTGGGGTCTGAAAGTGACCTGGTGTAGGACGAGAAACTTGAGTCCACTTCCCGTCAGAGAATCATCTCATTAGAATGGTCCCTGAAAAGGAACTGTGAAGGGGGTTTGTGGGTAGGAGTAGCCAGAAACTCGATCAGACAGTTGCCATGAATAACTTCCAGTACGCATTTGTTGGCAGTTAGGGCCCTCCAGTTGCGAGCAATATGGGTAAGGTGGCCTCCAAAAATCAAAAATGATGTGGCAACAATAAAAGGTATGTGGGGGTTTCTACAGTCTCGTAAAAAGAAACTCTTGGACTAAGGGCTGAAATAAGATGCTGCAGAGATTGTATTCTTGGGCCTATAAAGCTTCTGTCTTTTAGTGGTGGTTCCTGAGGATAATGATGATAAAAGAGCTGGGTAGGTAGTCCCACCTTATACCTCTGTCGATGATATTTTCTTTTGGGGGCATGGGTATAGAGATGCCAGAGAGTGAAGAGTTGTCTTTGAGTCCTTGAGGAAGCAGAGAGATTCATCTGTCTCCTCATGAAACAGATTGATCGTATCAAAGGGCAGATCCTGGATGGTAGTCTGTACCCAGGACAAGAAGTAATGGTCTCAAGTTGCAGTGGGGGAGGTTTAGGTTGGATATTAGGGAAAACTTTTTCACTAGGAGGGTGGTGAAACGCTGGAATGCGTTGCCTAGGGAGGTGGTGGAATCTCCTTCCTTAGAAGTTTTTAAGGTCAGGCTTGACAAAGCCCTGGCTGGGATGATTTAATTGGGGATGGGTCCTGCTTTTGAGCAGGGGATTGGACTAGATGACTTCCTGAGGTCCCTTCCAACCCTGATATTCTATGATTCTATGAAATCTGAAGATTGTAACCATAAGTCTCTCCTCATAACAAGGGCTGTAGCTGTTCCTCTAGACCAGTGGTTCTCAATCAGAGGTACGTGTAAGAAAAAGACTGGATCCTGGACTACTGATAGTACTGATGGCTGCACACCAAGGCTGGCAGGTTGGGATGGGAGAATTACTCTGCATCCTTGGGATAGTCTCTTCCTCTGGAGTGACAATGTCCCAAAATAAAGATGATCTCGACAGGAGGGGTGGATGATCAGGGAGAGCAAAAATGTCCTCCATGGAGACAAATATCTCAGACTGTCAGGAGGTGTGGGGAGAGTTCACTGATGGAGCCAATGGAACAGGAGTTTCCCTGGTTACAGTGGAAGTCTGATCTCATCTGGACCATGTTGCTTTAGGCACTATATCTGCTCTAGATGACGATGTGAGCATCAGAGGCTGTTTGGCTTGAGCCTTCGCCATAGGAACCAATGCTAGAATCAGTGGATCTCTACCCTTCCACACCATCTTCTCCTGCTGAGAAGATTTACTCGGGCCTAAGTCCTTGATGCCTGTGTGTGAAGGCTCTTCTGACTCTGACAGGGTTGGGGAGGGCTCCTTTCTCTTCAGAGCAGTCCTCAGAGAAGACAGTTTGTCCCTTTGCCCTTTACTCTCATTGGAAGTGGCTTAGAAGTCTTAGCCTCCAAAAGCCTTAGCCTTCATTCCCAACTTATGCTTGAGGAGACTGATGTATTGCGGGTGGAGGGGTCTCTCTGATCTGGATCTGATTGTTGTCTCATAGCCTTCTCCATTAGGTGTTTCCTAAGCCTCAGTTCCCAACCCTCATGAGTTCTGGGGGGAAAGGAGCAGCAGATGCTGCACTTGGCTAAGAAGTGAGCCTTACTCAGGCAGCAGAGACACTATTGATGTTCACTACTCACAGAAATGGAGCAATGGCAGGAAATGCAGTTTTTGAACCTCAAAATCCCAGGCATAATCTCAGCCTTCTTGGGGGGAAAAATTCCTTCTTGAGAGGGGTGGAGGGGAACAGAAAATAGCTAACTATACTATATGAGAAAAATACTAAAACTATTTACAATATATTTACAGAAGTGATACAGTAGAAAGGAGCTGAAGATATCAAAGATTTCAACTCAGACCATCCAGTGGTAAGAAGGACCTGGAGAAGCACTGGCCCTCACTGCTTTACTCTCCCAGTTCAGAGTACAAGGAGAACTACATAGCATATGAGGGCCAACAATGCTTGCAAAAAATTCTGTACTCGGGCGCATGCAAACCCATGTCTGGAATATACATTCAGACGATCACTTCAAGATGAATGGTATGTTCTGTACTAATTTATGGCAGACTCCTCAAGATGGCCTATAGGCTGCACGACAGCCCAAAATCTCTACAGTGATCACCACTATGGACTCTCAACGACCTACTTGACATGCCCCCTCCAGCTGGAAGTTGCTCAAGAGATCGCATAGTGACACTTACATTGGACCTCTGGTACTCCTGTGCTGGGGAAATTGTTCACATACTTCACTAGAGCAGCATGTAGGGACCACAACAGGAGGCACACCTGCCTCCTAGAGTTTTTACTACCTCCTGATGTCTCATACAGTCATTGTTTTTAACTATTACCGTAAAAACTATATAAGATTAGATGTTTAATTTATGAGTGTATTCACTGCTTAATTTTACTATTTGACCAAAAAAACTGGAAACAGCATTTGGCTGAAGTCAAATTTGGAGCAGACTGGTGGCTACGACAATAACGATAGAAGAACATGTATTACATATTTATTCTAATATAGCAGGATTATTTACAATAACAGAATCCCATAGTTAGTCAAGATCATAACTTTGGAAGACGAAGAATTTGTTAGATATGACTGTCCCTGTTAGCGTGAAGAGTCTGCACCTGAGGGGCATGTAGATGATCAAGGTGCACTTTTATTATTTATCAACCAATCAGCATTCTGAAGACTTGACCATTAAGATAGATAATAAACACACTGTTTAATGGGCACAGACAAGATACTGGAATAAAAATGAAATATTTACAACAGATTGTATTAATATACTTAGCATCCTCAACCTCCTAATACCCTGACAGGTTTACCAACAGCGCAAGGACAGAATGGACAGGCCTGACACGAACCAGTCACGAAGAAGAGGAGGAGGAGAAAAAGTGGCTGAGAGTCTATGATACAGGTAGCTGGAGAATACTGATGCCTCCTTTTAGTTATTCAGCTTCTAATAGTTATTTGAAATTATTCTTAAACTGAAATATTAGAATTTAGTCCAAAATTTAACCAAATTTATATACACCCAGTGCAAGACAAAAGGTACACAAACAATTCCATTTTGAGCTCATCATTTCCTGCTTCCCCTTTTGTATTTATAAAATTGCAATTTTCAGGAGTACTTTACTTCTGGGTATACCAGTTTATCCTATATTACTTCATATTAAAACACTTTTAGAGAACAGAAAATTTTTGGTTTTAATCCCATAAATGTGATAATATCCCATTAATGTCTGTTATGTGCAGATTTATGGATCAGTAGATTGCAAGCTCAGAGGTATCAAGGTGGGAACAGCAAATCCATTTGACATTACTACACATTTAAAATATAGGTCCCTATGATATTTATTCCACTGTAACTAACTTACTCTTCTTGCATAATTGTGAGAATGCACGCATCTATTTTCAGTATCATTTATAAGTAATGAAACATCACATGAATACATATTTCCTAATTTTCATTAAAGAAATATTTGAAATGGATTAGTCTCCATAAAAAATGGCAACAGATAATGCATCTTGCTATTGATTATTTTTTATTAGTGATTAAATGCTATATTCCTGGGCTGGCCTTAGTGTACAAATTGCATGGAGATGGGAAGAAGATAGATAGAAATTAAGAGACCATCCCATAGACTTCCGCTTCAAATCAAGTGAAAATAAAGAAAGGGGGAAAAAAGAAGAGAATAAGGAATCCCAGGTGGTATATATTACAAATTTAAATACAATATGCAGAGGCAGAATGAGACTCACTATTTAGTTGAAGCAGAGTTCAAAAGAATACTCACAGGAATAAAAGCTCCTAAATCTTCAACATAACCAGGATGTTCCTTAAGCCATTTTTCTAAATCCTTCCTTTTTGGTGCATCATCACCTGCCAGTCTTGTTCCATCTTTCAGGTTAATGACAGGAACTGGGCTTTCTTCATCAAGTAGACCTTGGGACTGAGCATAAGTAAGTGTTGGGTTTATTACTGGAGCAACTTGCGAGGTGTTAATGCCTGGACTAACCTGTAGAAAGACAAAATATTCTGAGAAACACGCAATACATTGGAAAACAAATGTCACAAAGAATTTGTAGGTGGTCTCCAATTTAGTTAAATACACAGCCAATTACATTCTGAAAGAGATCTATATGTAATTTTCCATATTGTAATTAAGCAATACCATAGATGTGGCTTTTTGTTTGTTTTTAATAAAAATCCTTTCCAGCTCACATTTAAAAGATTATAAGTAAGGTAATACTTGAATTGCGGGATGATCATCAAAAAATTGTGAACAAGTCATGGAAAATTGCAGAAAAGTAACAATGGACCTTATTATTTGGAGTAATGAAGTCCATTTTTACTTTTGTGCGATTTTCCACTTTCGGCTATCCATGGCTGAGAGTGGTGGCTCCTGCTGTTGGCTGCCTGGGGCTGACGGAAGGAGCCAGGGCTCCCACTGTCAAAATTGCAGTGGAAGTGTAATATTGCAGAATCTGCAATTTTCACAATATTGCAAGTTAAGTAGGACCTTAATTATAAGCTTATACTGAGTAATTCCAGATGAAATCATTTGAATGCTAAAGTTTAGCAATTATTTGTTCGCAGCACAATATGCTCAATTAAGAAATTCAGAGTAAAATTGAACTTGTATTTTGGATATAGAATCAGATTTACTTACATGATTAGGTGGTTTATTTCTATTTATAAAGAGGATGTCAACTCCTTCTACATTCTTCCTCCTTCCTCTCCTCTTTTTGACTACAGGCTGGCTGTCGACCATCACTCCATTAGCATTAACTGTTAACTGATTGGAAGCACCTATCAAATTAATAATGCATATCATTAATGAGTCAAAGGTGTGTTCCATTTATAATCAGGAACACATTCAATAAAAAAGTTCCATAATTTGAAATAGAGTAGTTTACAGATAATTCCCACATATAAACAAAAAATCAAACTGCTAAAGAGACCCTGTAACAAGTACAGAAAAAACAAAAGGGATCAATAAATCATAAAAAGAAAAGGAGTACTTGTGGCACCTTAGAGACTAACCAATTTATTTGAGCATGAGCTTTCGTGAGCTACAGCTCACTTCATCGGATGCATACCGTGGAAACTGCAGCAGACTTTATATATACACAGAGAATATGAAACAATACCTCCTCCCACCCCACTGTCCTGCTGGTAATAGCTTATCTAAAGTGATCATCAGGTTGGGCCATTTCCAGCACAAATCAAACCTGGATTTGTGCTGGAAATGGCCCAACCTGATGATCACTTTAGATAAGCTATTACCAGCAGGACAGTGGGGTGGGAGGAGGTATTGTTTCATATTCTCTGTGTATATATAAAGTCTGCTGCAGTTTCCACGGTATGCATCCGATGAAGTGAGCTGTAGCTCACGAAAGCTCGTGCTCAAATAAATTGGTTAGTCTCTAAGGTGCCACAAGTACTCCTTTTCTTTTTGCGAATACAGACTAACACGGCTGTTACTCTGAAACCAATAAATCATAGTTGCAGCTGCTAGTACTATTAAAATTAAAACGATCAACTATTTTTCCATCTCCATTGTACAAGGGAAAGATTTTTTTTTAACTCCAAATGATTTAATTTAATTTTCTATTACAGAAGAAGCCATCAGTGCTTACTGCATTTTATTTCTTTATTTGCGAACCAACATCATTCAGTGCTGTTAGACTGACCATGATTAGCTCAGAACAGTGTTTTTAGCAGACAACCGCTCCAAAGCCGGCAGGGATGACAACAGTTTGAGAAGGGTCCCCCAAATTGGTCCCCCCAAAAAAGGAAAGCAAGTGTTCTCAGACCAGTATTCTATATGTAAATATCACTCACCAACATAATGAACCAATTTTAAAGTAACATGTTTTGGACTTAAATTCCTAGAAAGTTGTACCCATTTAAGAATCTCCATCAAGGTACTGACAAGCTCAACATTCAACATATGAGACACTACACCATCTTCCAAAATAATGTCTTAAGAGTAACTTAAAAACATGGGGGGGTTGAGTTTTTTTTGTTTTAAATCACAGTTTTTCACCTGTCTTGATTTTTCACCTTTAAGGGGGAGCTCCCCATGCATACTGTATGTGTGATCATCTTAGGGTCAAAATGCAACCTTAAATATACACAAAAATGCAGCATCTTTTTTCACTGATTAGAGGGAACTCCACTTACCTTCTATTGTCCTCATGGGGGGGCATGTGGCAATTCCATTCTATCCAGTCCTTAGCTGAACAGGATAGGCAGCTGCTGCACTCACATTCTTTCCACACATTTCCCCACATTCTACTGTCACCTACATTCACCCCTACTCATATTTCCCTCCCTCACAGTTTCTTATCCATCACATTCTCTTTCTCTTCCATACCACATTCCTCTGCACTCTTTCAGCTCCTCTCACTTTGCCTTTATATCCTGCTGCCACCCCTCAGATGGCCTCCTGATCCCAACATTCCCTAGTATCCCATCCTATCTGTACTCTGCTTCTCAGAATCCTTTGATTCATAGTGCCCTGTCCAGTTCCCTAACCCACTCCATTCCCTGATAGTCCCTACAGTCCCATTCCTAACACCTCCATATTTGCCCGGCCCTCACAGAGTGACTAAGGGGACACTATCTTCCCTGAGAGTAGCCTGGCTTCAGAGCCATTGGAAACCAATAGGATGGCATCTATCTTTGCTGAGGGCAGCCTCACTTTCATCTGAAAAGGTCAAATGGATATACAATGCACCTTGCTAAGGGAAGCATGTGCCTTCAGACCCAGATGGTAATGGGATATGGGAGCCATTTTAGATGAGGGCAGAAATTTGCAAGATTGAAGAAAAAATAAATGAATGAGAACCCTTAAAGACCCAAAATATTGCATAAGTTGACAACACTGTTATACATGTTTAATAGGCTTAAGGATGTGAGATGTATTATCCTGTTTTAAGTTGAAACTTGACATACCAAGTTTCTACTTCTGTATTTTTATGTAGCTTGTATTCAACAAAATGATTTCAATAAGCTTCCATTTTACATAAATGAAAAATGTGTACAGTTTTCTAAGTGAAAGATATATTTTGGAATTGCTGTAACTTGAGCTTAGATTTTAAAAAAACTGTGTAAACAATTGGTCAATATTATGAACATCTTAAACATTGTGTCTACTTCATGTTTACACACATTACTTTTCATAAATGTTACTCACATGCATAACTCAGGTATATGTGAGAGATTATGTCTCTATACGAGTCATTATGGTCTACTGGGTTACAATTTTATATATATACACACACAAACACAATTACATTAAGTTCTTAAGAAGCTATTGTAATGTACAGGGTAAATAATATCCCTTTTAGACATTTTCTGAATACTTATTTATAAAATAAAGCTACTGAAGACTACTAGGCTAAATATCCATAGAAAAATCTAAATACGAGTTTACTACAATGAGACCATAGTAGCACCAAAGAAGTCATGACACCATCACAAGAACTAGAAGGCATCCAATGAAATGGAGAGGTAACAAATTTCAAAAGTATAAAAGGAATTCCCCCCCACAAAAAATGTGTAATTAACCTCTGGAACTTAATGACTTTCATATCTATAATGAGAAATGGATCCAAAACAAATACCTAAATCTAAACATCCCTGGTATGAAAAATTGAGGATCCAGATCTTAAATTTGTATCAGAGGCTATTTTCTAGTTGTAACACATATTTCCGATTGAAATAGAATACAGTTTTGTTATTAAGATTAATAATACAGAATATTATTAAGGATCACAGTAGTAAAGCACAAAACTGTCTCTATCCTACTATACTTGACTGTTTGATTGCCTCAGACACAGGAGACAGATTACAAAGAGCACAGAAAATTAACACAGATAGAAAATGGCAGACAAAGTATAATGGCTCTTTGTTTATTTCCCTACAATGTACACTGTCAAAGAGATTCTTGTGACCAGGGAGCATTATGTAAATTGACACTATAATAAATCATAATGTTTACCTGATTCTGGTAAGGATTTTGGAAAATTGACAAGGCTGGTCTCTGAAGCATTCTGGAGCTCACGAAGCCGAGCCAGGTATTGCTGCTGTCCTAACGTGCCTTCTTCACTTTCAAACAGCCTTTTTTGAGAAAACCCCTGCTTCTGAAAAGTCAACTTCAAACCACCTTCCTGTTAAACAAATGCCAGGGTTAGAAGACTGTCTTCTGAGACAGAAATGACTACTTCATAGTTCAGGATTCTCACATAAAACACATCTATTACAGAAGAGTTGAGGGAAAATGAGATCACACAAGACTTTAATCAAGCCTTGCTTTTCTTCAAAGTAACCAGTCTAACCAGAAATTTTACAGGACCACCTTTCTGAATACAAATTGTGAAAAAATTAATATCTTAACTGAAAAATTCAGATACTGAACATCTATCTACTTCCTTAATCTCATCCTATGCAAATCCCAAATCCAATTACTAGAACAGAGTTCTCATCTATTTGTACTTACTACCAACAAATCTCAAATTACAAACACAGGAAATGGGTATTTTAGACACCTCTAGTATGTATGTGAAACTACAGGATTTAGTTGTAACCTTTTTAGAAGCACATGAAATTATAAAGTGCTAATTTGAGTAGGGCATGCTAAAATGTTCAAAAAAAGTCAAACTCACTGGAAACACCTATTATTTATGCAACTAACCAGACTGTTAGAAACTGCATAAAACAAACCATTTGAGGAAGCATCTTAACAGCAGGATTTCAGAAGTTTAAAGAGGGACATACATTCAATGATGATCCCTCTAGTAGGATATGTAAATTTAAAAATGCCCAATGCCCAAAAGAAACATATCCAAATACCCGTAAACTAATGTGCAAAGGAAGTAAGAGTGAGAGCAGGCAGCCACTTGCAGGTAAAGCATGCCGCACACCGCAATCGCAATCAGGTCCTAGGGCAATAAAAATAAACATACGTCATTGATTTTCACTGTAAACTCCTTTTCTCGTACATGCTTCTTCACCTTTGGCATCTGTGGCGACTGATCATGTTCTTCCTTAACACCTGCAGTTGGGGGAGTTGGTGCACTAGGTTCGCTGTAGTCTGCAGCTGCACCCGGGCTGTCCAGAAGTTTGGTTGTGTAGAAAGATGCTACTGTATTGCTGTCATAGCTTCTTCTTGCCGAAGGCCATTTACCTTTCAACACTGTTTGACAAATACTGTCTAGTCGGTTAATCATAACTCGATCCTAGAAAAAAAGAGAAAACTTTTTACAAAGGAACTGCTTATAAAATCTATACATGATGCCATTCAGAATGCAAACCCTACTCTTCTACAAAGAAGAGTAAGGATAATCTTATGGTTAAATCACTGGACTTGCACTCAGGATTTGGGTTCAATTCCTGGCTCTACAACATTTTCCTGTGTGGCTTTGGATAAATCACAATCTCTCTATACCTCACATAACCATTTGCAAAATGTGGACAATGGTACTTCCTTTCTTCTACCCTTTGTGTATCTTGTCTATTTTGGTCCTGCTCCTGCAAATACTTAAGCACATGCTTCGCTTTACTCACATGAGTAGTCCCATTAATTTTAATGGGAATACTCTGGATAGTAAAATGAAACAGTGCAGAAGTGTGTGCAGATTTTTGGCCATGACCATTTGGGGCAGGGACTATCACCTAACATATGTAGATGCTACAATAATATAATAACCAGCCACAAATATAAAAATAAATGTGCATGCTCTTATTCACAGTTCCTGTTGTCATGTTTGAATCTGTTCCGCTCCCGATTCAAATACCTTAGGTCACAAGCCGGCAAAGCACATATTTAATTTTAAACACACAAACAGTCCCATTGAAAAGTCAAGCACGTACTTAGACCTTAAGCAATACATGCTGAATTCCCCAAATAAAATGTAAGGGACCCTTTTAGAACCTATGTAATATAAAAATAAAATCCATAAAGTTTGCTGATACCATTAGAGCACACATATTTGTCCAAGAAATAAACTGCCCAACATATAAAATGCTCTTTACAATTCTCTCCTAATCTTGATTGTGTTCTACACCACCACATTCAGAACAAGGGCCTACATTTTCAAAAATGATTAGTTGTTTTGTTATGCCTCTATTTGTGGGTGTTCATTTTGACACATTCTAAATGGGCCTTCCACCTTCCCTAAGAAAATTAGACCATTTAAGAAGAGCTCAAGTGATGCTCTTGAAAACTGAAAATCATGAACATTGAAACCAAAGTTATTTTTAAGAAAAATATTCATGATGTTAATGTAGTGGAGATTAAAAGCTCCTGAATTTCAGATACTAATACTAATCTCTCTCTTCTGAGCTCCCCCACCCTTTTTGTCTCTTCCTTTGTCATGAAGTTCCCTTTCAGGCCCTCCTCAGCTGCTTGACTTCTGAAAACAATGCCTTCATCAGAAGCTTCCAATCTGGCTGCGTATTTTCAAGCCTCAGTGCAATCCATGCCTGCCTCCAGTGAATGAGATCTTTACCACTGCAAATTGAGAAACCAATAGCTATTTTTTTTTATAATATAGTACATGCCTTTAACAAATACAATGAAATTTTACTCTAAGACTGTGTTATAGTTATCTACATAATTTAAAACAGTTTTGTAGAGGGGAACACAGATTCTTTGGAAAGTAGCATGTAGAAGAATTAGAACACCACCAGTGACCCTTACATTCTACAAAATTATGTTAAAATAACTTTAGAACTACTGAATAAAATATAAATCCCAGAAAATTCAAAAATGAAGTTGAATCTACTTAAAATCCAACTAGCATGTCCAAGAAGGTGGTGATTTTATAAGCCAGATGTTCTGCAAACCATAAGCATAGCAGGGGACTGTGAAAACAAGATTAGCTTTAGACGCCCATAAAGTATTCCTCTTGGATCTTCTGATTTTCACGTCAAGTGTCAAAGCTAATCTAATCTTTCATTTTTAAAATAATATCTATCCTTTTCCATTGTGAAGGCAATTGTCAAAAGTATATTAATCACTGGGATTAAAGTTTATATTTTAAGTATACATTTTAACAAATCACAAAATCTTCATAGTTTGCCACTAGTACAGTTGAGAACAAGCCACTAATGCATGTAAAAGGATAGATTTACTCACCATGCAGTAAAAAACAGTTACCTACCTCTCGTAACTCTTGTTCTTTGAGATGTGTTGCTCATGTCCATTCCATTCTAGGTATGCGTGCGCCCACGTGCACCACTGTTGGAATTTTTTGCCTTAGTGGTATCCGTAGGGCTGACTGGCACCCTCTGGAGTCCCGCACTCATGCACCAGTATATGAGGCATCGCCGACCCTATGCCCTGTAAGTTCCTTCTTGCCGGCAACTCTTGCCAACAGAGGGGTAGGAGGGCCTGTCATAGAATGGACATGAGCAACACGTCTTGAAGAACAACGGTTACGAGAAGTAGGTAACCTTTTTTCTTCTTCGAGTGCTTGTTCATGTCGATTCCATTCTAGGTGACTCACAAGTGGTATCCCTGGAGGCGAGCTTGGAATTCACGGCCATGCGAATTGTAACACTCCTCTGTCAAAGCTGGCATTGCCCTGGACCTGCTGGGTGTAATGGGTATGGAGGTATGGATGGATGACCAGGTAGCGGCCCTGCAGATATCTTGAATTGGCACCTGGGCCAGGAAGGATGCTAACGAGGCCTGCGCTCTGGTGGAATGGGCGGTAATGATCGTCAGCAGTGGTATCTTTGCCTCTTCATAACAAAACCTGATGCAGGTGGTGATCCAAGAGGAAATTCTCTGAGCAGAAAGAGGTAGACTTTTCGTTCTGTCCACTACTGTGATGAAAAATTGTGTTGACTTACGGAACGACTTAGTTCTTTCTATATAAAAGGCTAGTGCTTTCCTATCGTCCACAGTGTGTAACCTGCACTCTTTATCAGATTTATGAGGTTTTGGGAAGAGGACTGGTAAAAATATGTCCTGATTAGTGTGAAACTGCGAAACTACCTTGGGTAAAAAGGCAGAGTGCGGTCGCAGTTCAACGTTGTCCTTATAGAACACCGTGTAGGGTGGCTCTGACGTAAGCACTCTGATTTCAGAGACCCTTCAAGCCACCAGGAAGGAGACCTTTCACAAAAAGAGCAGGCAGGAACAGTTGGGCAGGGGCCAGGAGGGGCTGCTGCCAGGTTCATGAGCGTGCAAAACCAGTGCTGGTGAGGCCAAGCCAGGGAGACCATGATAACTTGTCCCTTGTCTCTCTTGATCTTTGCCAGGACCCTGCTGATGAGAGGAATCGCAGGGAATGCGTACATCAGGTTCCCTGACCACGACAGGAGAAAGGAATCGGAGAGGGAGTCTTTGCCCAGGTCTTGCTGTGAACAAAACCGGTGGCATTTCCTGTTCAGCCTGGTGGCGAACAGGTCCACTTGGGGAGTTCCCCACCTCTGAAAGATCATGCAGGCTACCTCCGGGTGGAGCAACCACTCATGGCGAGAGGAGAAGTCCCTGCTGGGGTGATCTGCTAGCGTGTTCTTGACACCAGGGAGGTGACAAGCTTCCAGATGGATTTCGTTGCTGATGCAGAAATCCCAAAGATGGAGTGCTTCTTGGCAGAGAGTCTATGAATGTGCTCTCCCTTGCCTGTTGATGTAGAACATCGAGGCAGTGTTGTCCGTCAGGACTCTCACCACCTTGCCCGACAGGTGAGGTAGGAAGACTGCATGCCAAGGGGACTGCCCTGAGTTCTTTGACGTTTATGTGTAACATCATCTCCTCTGGGGACCACATATCCTGGGTCTGGAGGTCACCAAGGTGCGCACCCTAGCCGAAATCCAAGGCGTCCGATACTAATTCGATGGAGTGATGGTGGGTGTTGACAGAACCCCCTGTAGGAAGATTGTGTGATCGGTCCACCATCACAGTGAGGCAAGTACCATAGGGGGAATGGTAACAACCTTGTCCAGGTGATCTCTGGACTGGGAATAGACCATTGCCAGCCATTGCTGCAGGGGCCGCATCCAGAGCCTGGCATGGTGGACAATGTATGTGCATGCTGCCATGTGACCCAGCAGGCGCAGGCAAACCCTGGCCATAGTCAGGGGGAACGCAGAGACCTCTGCGATGAGGTCCGTCAACGTCTGGAACCTTTCTAACGGCAGGAACGCTCTGGCGCAGGTTGAGTTGAGCACTGCTCCAAATGAACAAAGACTTTTTGTCATTTACCAGTAGGCGGCACATGGCTTGCAGCACCACATCATCCTCTTGGAACTGAGACATGGAGTTGCCCTTGATTAGCCAGTCATCAAGGTATGAGTAGATCTGGATACCCCAACATCTGAGGTGAGCAGCCATCACCGACATGCAATTGGTAAACACTCTGGGTGCTGTTGCCAAGCCGAACGGGAGGACCGCAAACTGGTAGTGGTGGGGGCCCACTGTAAACCAAAGGAAGCGTCTGTGACCTTGAAAGACTGCTATGTGGAAGTCCATGTCCTTCTAGTCAAGGGCAGGTCTCCCGGATCCAGGGAGGGGATGATAGAAGCCAAGGAGACCATGCTTCTTTAGATACTTATTGAGGTCCCTCATGTCCAGGATGGACCTCAGACGGACCTTGGCCTTTGGGATTAAGTGGTACCGGGAATATAACCTCTTGTTCCTGTAGTTGAGAGGAACTTCTTCCACCGCACCCAATTGCAGCAACCCCTTTACCTCCTGCATGAGGAGACTCTTGTGAGAAGGGTCCCTGAAGAGGGACCGGGTAAGGGGGGGGTAGAAGTAAACTGTAGGATATAACACTCCGCCACGGTATTGAGGACCAGCGGTCTGAAGTTAGCCAAAGCAGCAGAAGTTCCAGCAGAGTAACTGGCAGCAAGAAGGAATTCAGGGTGGGGGGAGCCAGCAGCGCTCCTCATACCACGCCATGCAGGCGCCACTCCACAGGGTGCCAGAACCGGTCCCCTACGGATACTGCTAAGGGAAAAACTTCCAGCACCAGTGCATGTGGAGAGCACACACACCTAATATGGAATGGACATGAGCAAGCACTCCAAAAACTATACATTTTTACCTAGCACTGTCCATCTGGTCCACCCATGTGCCTCTCTTCTCCTTGTGTACCACATCACAGGAATAAAGGGGGGGATTGCCAGACTGCCACCATCTCAGTTCCTTCTTTACCACCAGTTCCCAGTAGGAGACCAGGAAGCGGGGAAAGAGGGCAGGTAGTGCACTATACATAGGGAAAAGACATCTCAAAGAACTCCTGTTACTACAAGATGAGTAACCCATCCTCCTTCTTCCAGGGATTGTCCCTATGTGTTGTGCACTTCTGGTGATTCACAAGCCGTGTCTCTAAGGAATCCTAGAATCCTATGACATACATTGCTTCTCTAGGCAGGGTAGTTTTGCATCAGATGCAGTTGTTCACACCCAGTACACAGTGCCTAGCGAAGGTGTATAAAAAGTGCCAGGTCGCTGCTCTGCAGATTTCAGTAACAGGGATATCTTTAAGGAAAACTACAGATGCTGCGCCTGAGCTTTAACTGAGTGTGTTTTCACATTGCTTGAATGTATTTCTGGTGTAAATTAAGCAAGGTGTGACCAAAGACAAAGAAAAGCACATTTACATGCATGGTAAACAAAGCCATCAGGAGAGCAAGTGGGGAAAGATGACCACTTAATCTCGATGGGGTATGGAGAGTGCACCCCCCACCTCCCGAAGCCTTCCTGCCTCTTGAAGCAGCACCACTGAACTTTGGGAAGATATAAAGAGAGAAAGCCATTTTGCCTTCCTTGGCTTTTGCCTTCCTTCACATGAGAGACTAAAGGGGCCAGAGCTCTTGAAATCACAGAATAGTGGATCCTTTAACCAAGCAGTTTGAAGTCTCTGGGAACTGAATACAGATGAAAAACCTGCTTAAGCAAATATTGCAACTTGTTGAAAGTAAGTTTTAATCTTAGAAGCGTATTTTTACTTTTGTTTGCTTGTAACCTTTTCTATCTTTATTCCTTATACTTGGTATCTCTTAAACATAAGACTTTTTTGTTTAACAAACTTGTTTTACTTGTACTATACACCAACTCAGTGTGTTAACCCCAGTTAAGGTAATAAGCTGCCAGGTACTGTCTCTTGAAGGGTGCAGCAAACTTAACTTCTATAAGTTGTCAGTGAGAGGGCTGGACACTACAGGGCAGACATTTTGGGGGAAATACAGGACAGGGAGGGTCTTCGGGTCACCCTGCAAAACGTAACTGGGAGGTGGAAGCCAGAGTGTGCTCTGCATGCTTGCATGCTGGCTGTTGATGTCAGGGCTATAAGCCACAGCAGCATAACATTTAAGACATCCAGAGTTCCAGGCCAGGCAATGACTAAACCTGACTGGTCTGATTCGAAACCCAAAACATCATATCGGCATAGTCACAACAGGATTCACCCCCAGCTTACTATTTTAACTCGTCTATTTTAACCCCAAGAAAAATGACCCAGCTATAACATTTGAGCCTGAAAATGGTATTACAAACTTACCTTTGGCCAATAGGATGCAGCCAACATGTATCCACCTTGCAAGAGATAGCTGGAATTTGGCGTCCCGTTGTTCAACTGGAAACAGTCCTGGGTCTCATCTTGTGTGGTGCTCAGAGAGGCTACGCTCTCTTCGTCATATGCTTTGATGTGAGGGGTTCCTTCTGCTAAATAAAAGTACTACATATAACTTGAAGCTGTATAGAAAAATATACCATAGGTTTTTTTTTTAGGATGCTCATACAAAGTATGTAAAGATTTGGAAAGAAAAATTTGAACACGAATATAAAACGAAAAATGAAATTTTTATTCTGGGTATATGCAACGCTGATTTTTAAATTAGGAGTGCTGAAGCTCTTTCATGTAAATTGTGAACTACTACTACTCTGCACATAACTATATTCCTGTTCTCTTTTCTAGAGCTTAACATGTGAAGTATTCAGATATTTCAAAACAGGTTGCTTGCTAAAGTCTGATATGAAATCCCTTGTGACCATTTTAGAACACACACATTTCAATTTGAAGTGAAACAAAATGTGATTTCAAGACAATAAATCAATTCCATTTTTAAATAGAAAAGTAAGCATGGAAAGCAAAGTGGTTGTCACCAGAGTGTGGTAAATCTATTGAGGAGATATTACTTGTTATATGTGGTCCATTTCACTTATTAGATGGGGTGTAGAAGGCTCCATTTGCCTCCCCCAAATTTTTTTAATATGGTATGTCTACATCATATTACAATTTTAAACACTCATTTTTAAATTCTGAGTTTCTTTTCAACTAACATTCCACTGTTTCTTCTTCTCCCCTGACCCTCACATATTTTCCATACATCCCAACCTCCATTTTTTATTTCTTTCCTCTTCCAGATTATCTCCAACAGAAGAAGAAAATCAGGGATATTATGTCTCTGTGTTTGCACAGTATAAATTTCCTGGTAGCAAGGCCAGACATATTTTTAAACTAACAACCAATGCTGCGTAGGAAAGAGTACAGATGCAAGAGCAATGTGAGATAATTCTGCAAGGCTCAAACTTATGTGTAACAAAAAATGCAAGATTACAATTGCGTACATAAGTGAGAGCGAAAGATGGAGATTTTAATTGTTTTCATTGCTTAAAATCAGTTAATACCATATATTTTAGTTATGCATTGTGTGGTTAAGTTACGGAGGATGGGTGGGTGAGAGTGTGTGTGGTTTTTTATTTTTGTAGAAAAAGCATTTGTGTCACAACACTCCACTTTCTACAAAAAAGTGTTTCCATTATCACTCTAATAATAAAATATTGATAAAAAATGCTACCCACCACTTATTTGACAAAATATTAAAAGTTTCTATGGTAGAAGACCACAATTTGCCTCTGTGCTGAGCCCTTCCCCGCTACTCCCTGATCCTGGACCAGATGTGCATCAGGATGGTCCCAAGCATAATTCAGCACAGTCTGAAGGACATTGTAAATAGTACCTACCAATAGCACCAACAGACTGATAAGGCAGCTTGGGATCAGCAGGGTGTAGTGCAGTCCCAGCAATGTCTCCGTTCTCTAAACACAGTTAATGACTAACCTAGCTCCACACCACCAGATGACCCCCGTGCAAGGGAGACTGAAGGGAATATCATCTCATAGTGGCTAAACTGGCTTTGCACCCAGAATCTACTTGTGGCACAGCACCGAGCAGCCACAATACAAAGGTGAGAATGCCCTAGATAACAAAAGGTAACTCATAACATGCTTGTCAAATCTCAGCTCCCAAATATTAATACTTCAAAAACTGAAATGGATTTTGAATGCTTGGGACCACCAAAAACCTCTCTATTTCAAACTGATATGTAACCCATTTTTCCACTATTCCCCCCGCCCCTTCCATGAAGGTCCAATACGTAGGGCCTGCTGAAAACTTTCTTCCTCTAGAGCAGTATTTCTCAATGACCAGTCTGTGGATCAGAGCCAGTCACTCAGATCTCCCTGACATAGTTTAGGAAGGCAGCAGAAAGGTTCCTTGTATCAAAAAGGTTGAGAGGAACACTGCTCTAGAGCAGTGGTTCTCAAAGCTGGTCCGCCGCTTGTTCAGGGAAAGCCCCTGGCGGGCCGGACCGGTTTGTTTACCAGCCGCGTCCGCAGGTTCGGCCGATTGTGGCTCCCACTGGCCGCGGTTCACTGATCCAGGCCAATGGGGGCTGTGGGAAGCGGCGTGAGCCAAGGGACGTGCTGGCCGCCCTTCCTGCGGCCCCCATTGGCCTGGAGCGGTGAACCGCAGCCAGTGGGTGCCGCGATCGGCCGAACCTGCGGACGCAGCCGGTAAACGAACCGGTCCGGCCCGCCAGGGGCTTTTCCTGAACAAGTGGCGGACCGGCTTTGAGAACCACTGCTCCAGAGAGCCCTGTAGGTAGGGTGGAGGTAGAAGTGTTTTGGCTATCCCTTCCGTCAGCTGAAGTATTGTTTTCATGCAGAATAGGACAGTTGCTAAGCATGCAAATCCTGGGATTATAGAAATAATGGCAGTATTAACAATGGTTTAGTAACCAAAATTAAAATCACTAAACAGCGAGGCATTTGTTACAAATATTGTCCTCTCAAAAACTGCTTGAACGCAACAGATTGGTCTAAAATACTAGTATCTGTCAAGTGTGCAATATATAGAACAGCTGCTCAAAAGTGCTACGAATGGTGTATTACACATTAAAAAAAGTACATATTAAAGAGATGGTGCATAATGAATTGCACTGAAGTTAAGAGAACCTTCCAGCAGTTACCAAATCTTTAAAATGGAAATTTCTAATTAAACAGCAACAGAAAGACAGACAGACGGATTTACATTCCCTAGCTGACATTTTACAACTCGAGGGTTGGACACATCATTGGTTACATAGGCTCAACTGGCAGGTGGTGGAAAGGGCAGGAATACCGTCCCTATTACTAGAACCTGCAGCAATTTTACAGGATACTGCCACTAAACCTAAATTGTGTTACACTGTCTAAGCCAGTCCTCCTCCTCCTCTTCTCCTTTGTTTTATCAGTTTCTTATCAACAACATCCCCTTGACAATGCCCATTTGGTCCTGCAGGCAGAGGAGCATTGCAACATCAGAGGTTACTCAGCCAGTAATTCTAACCTTAGCTTTAAACCTTAACACTAACCTGTTGTTTACCTTGGTCATCTCCCTCCTTGACAGTCAAGGCAGAGAGATTCTACTAAAACAGGTTTAAGTAGGAGTGATCACTTTAGATAAGCTATTACCAGCAGGAGAGTGGGGTGGGGGGAGAGAAAACCTTTTGTAGTGGTAAACACTCATTTTTTCATGGTTTGTGTGTATAAAAAGATCTTCTGTACTTTCCACAGTATGCATCCGATGAAGTGAGCTGTAGCTCACGAAAGCTTATGCTCAAATAAACTGGTTAGTCTCTAAGGTGCCACAAGTACTCCTTTTCTTTTTGCAAGGCATAGTGTGGAGGGAGTCACAGTGCAAATGTCGTCTCATTCCTACTCAGCCAATATAGCTCCTGATTTAGAACAGAGGTTCTCAAACTGGGAGAGCACGAAATGTATTCTGGGGGAGCACGAGAAGCTGTAGGGGAAAAAAAACCTGACTGCAATCATTCAGAGCTGGGTGGCCAGAGAGCTGCGGATGCCTGCTAGACAGCGCTGCCACCAGCAAGAGCGGAGAAATAAGAATGGCAATATCATACCATGCCACCCTACGTCTCCACTGCTGCTGGCGGCGGCGCTGCCTTCAGAGCTGGGTACCTGACCAGCAGCTGCTGCTCTCTGTTCTGCCTTCAGAGCTGAGTGGCTAGAGAGTGATGGGGTTGCGGCGGGGGGGGGGGGGGGGGGGGGGAGATAAACTGCTACAGACACAAAGAAGGGGTATGCAATCAAATAAGTTTGAGAACCATTGATCTGGAACAGCCCTCTATTCCAGTCCTGAACTCCCATGCCACCCCAACTGTCTTAGTTCTGACTGCCAGTTTCACTTGCTGATTCATTTTGACAAATGGAATTGAGTATGCAAATGAACTGTAGGAGGAGAGTGATGACTAGCTGATTTACTTCTGATGTCACAATGCCTCAGAGACATGCCATCTAGTTGACTGTTAGGCCTCACTTGTTGCTAAGCCAAATACATACTATAGTCAAGATTTTTACCATATGAAATGTATCAATAGATTTGCTATGGATGAGATTTTCAAAGGTACCTAAATAACACAGGAACACAAATCCTAATGAAAAAAAACAACACCATGGAACTAGTGCTCCCAAGCCACACAGCTGATTTTGAAAATTCTATCTGTGTTCCTAGGCCCTACACTAATCCACAATCTCGTTTACATTTTCTGAATAGTTTTGAAGCCTGAATATCTGTGCAAAAATGCTTGAAAATTTGTCAGTGAATGCAAATACACGTTGCACTGTGTCACACAAGCATAAATGAATGAGCAAACACCCACTTATATAATATGCCAATATCCCATAGTAACAAATTACTCACAACTGACCCTTGATGTTGCAGCCTAAAACCTTACCATTCGTGGTGGGAAACCAATCCTAACCCACACAACCCAACTCTACTGCCAGAAAGTTAATGATCACCATGATATAACATTTATTGTACGCATACTGGAAACCAATTTAAAGCAGATCTTGAATATTAGCACTTTTAATGTATTTTTCTCTCCATCACAGAAAACAGAGCAGAGGGTTATATTCTTAACAGTAAAACTGTTGAACTGAGTACAAGACATTGAGAATCATGCTCCCCCATTGTGTAATTCCTGTCATGAAAATCTTTGAGCTAATGCTTTGCCAGAATATGGTCCTTGTTGTCACAATTCTTTCTGCTGTTGGGAAAGTACTACATGACACGATAGTTTGCTGCTTTAGGAAATACTTTAAGATGAGGAAAGGAACAGACAAATAGTGTGCAGGGGAAACAAAAGGGAGGCACAGAAACAAAAGGGAGATTTTATAAAAGGAGGGCCTGTTGCTCTAGATATCTAAGTTTGGTAACCAAGATTGCCCATAGGTGGGTGCTGAGACAGTACCTCAAATTACTCTTAATGATCTTTGGCAGATTGCAGGACTGAGAGTTTTCAAGAGATACTTAAGAGTGGTGTAGTGATGTGGGACAAGGGATGAATGAGGAGGGAAAAACAGAAGCAGTACCAAAAGAACCTAAATATAGGAGGAAAGAAAAGAAATGGGGAAGAAGAGGAGAAAAACATTTTTGCAGAAATTCTGGCAATTCATCCCTTCCTCCCACACCTGAGTCAAATGCTGAACACAGCTCTCTATGGAATCAGTCAACATGATGCTTTGAATCGACAGAGGCATTGATAGGAGGTGATGGGAAATACAGAATATTTGCTTTCGTTTTTACTATGTATTCTCCTATTCCTATGCCTTTCAGATGTCTTTCAATATTCAGTATTTTTAGTTTTAAAATTATGATGTAGTAATAAGACTTTTGACACTTACCTCGCTTTTGTGCCTCTTCGTCATCACTGTCACTCTCTTCAGATGACGACGATGATGACGACGATGATGAAGATGAAGATGATGAAGAGGAGGAAGATGCTGACGAACAAGATGAGGATGAAGAAGAGCTGGATCCTGATTGGGAGCGTGAACAAGAAGAGGAAGAGGAAGAGGATGATGAAGATGACCTGGAAGAACAGGATGATCTGTCTGAATCAGAGTCAGAATCAGAGCTAGAGTCTGACCCTCTTTTGTTGACTCTCTGTTTTTTGGAAGCAGGGTTTGGAGTTAGGGGCTCTGTCCTTGCTGCAACCATACGCCTATCAGTTTCAGTTTTCACGCCAGGTTTGTGGTCTGTAGTCTGTAATGGCGTGCCATTCTTTGGGCTCAGAGGTTCAGATTTCATCATTGTCCGTGTTTCCTCAGTAGACATAGATTCTTCTTCAGACGACTGAGGGTCCTCTTTAAGGTTTTCATTTTTAACTTTTGTATCCTCAAGAGCATTCCCTTTAGTATCTGGCAATCTTGACTGAGGTGCAAGAGGAGAAGCAGACAATGCCATCTGATACTGATGTAAAAGTGGAGTAGAAGTTCTTGATAGTGCCACTTTATTCTGACTGTAGTTCCTCTGGGCAGACATAAATGAGAGTTCAGGATCACGAAGAATGTGATAGTCTGTTCTGCTAACCCCATGTTTAGCAGCTCCAATAAGTAAATCCCTGTCATGAGTCCCACACTCCCACCAGACTGGCAAGTCTGGATTTGGCTGACAAAGTTTCAAGCGTTCAAACAGCTGTGGATGTCGGAGAGCCTGTTCTCGTACCTTCCTCAAGAGTTCAATGCGATATAAGGTCCGAGAAGCACGCTCCTCAGTAATTGGTTGGATAAAAATGGTTGGGTCTACAAGTTCTATATAAAAATAAAACAAATGGGAGTATCTGGCAAACAAAACCTTGTAACGCAGATTAGAAGCAAGTGACATTAACCAGTTAACAGCCAAGTCCCACAAAACATTAACCTCATGTTCCACATTAGACTTTTCCCCTTTTTCTTCTCCCCTAATAAAATTTTGGAAAGCAGACAGAGTTGTAACTTTTTGGAAAGAGGAAACAAACAATATTTTGTACGATCAGTATCAACTACATGATTCAAATATTTTTTAAAACATACTGTACTCTATTTTCCTATGATACATACCTTCTTTTGAGGGAAGGCGACAGACTCTCCTGCACATAGACATAAAAGCATACAAGTACTTCTCTAAACTCTCATCAGTTTTCTTATGTAGCCTAGCCATGGCTCTAAATTTTGTCCAGTCAAATCGACCCCCGTCAGGATCAAACACCACTCCAAATGTGGATACAACCCTGTAAAAATCAGCTTCTTCTCTTCTCGTCCATCTGGATTGGCAATAAAAAGAAAAAAAAATCAATCAAGTTTGGACATTCAGTAATTTTCTTAATATTATCACCTGTGATCATTAGTGATTACAGCTTTAAAAAAATTTAAGAAGTCTTTTTGAGTTCCTATAGGCTCATGCATTTAAACAGAATACTTATTTTGCACAAACCTTTGTTGCCTTTCAATCTTGGCAGCAATTTTTGGATTTAGAGCAGCTTCTTCATATGGAGGCTGCATCACAGTGGCCTGAACTGGAAACGTTGGTTGGATTTGCTGGGCCTGCCTGTTCTTACTAGTACGTTGGTAGGCTGTTATTAGGCGTCGCAGACGTGTTGTTAAAGCAGACTGAGTGGGCCAATAAATTTTGTCTCCTTCCATCATCTGACCGTCTATATTAAAAGAAAACAACCAAACTCAAAGAAACAAGTCAATTATTGATAGTGTCTCAGGTTCTGCACTACACCTAAAGCAGGGCTGCGCCAAGCCATGATGTAGCCCAGCATGATAGGATACTATACGTTCACAATAATGATCATATATGAAGTTTAATTTACTTTACCTCCGTCAGCTATTACTAGATCTCCTGGTGATGAAGCATCATCCTAAAAAATCCAAGATTTGAAATAAATCAAAAATATAAATCCATCAGAGATGCAGTTAAAAAACACACACCTTAGATAGATAACTAACAAAAATAAAATAAGAATAATAATATTTTGTTATATTTTAGACAACTGGCTATTAAGGCATCTTTAATATGAAGGGATCACCCAAAAATACTTTGTCAAAGACTTCTGTGAGACTTATACTTAAGCTGTGCATGTATAGGAAATATTAAAAATGCTAAAATAACTAGCTCCACAAAGTTAGAAGTAACATTTTCATTATGATAGAAAGAACTAAAAACAGATGCATATCGTACCTCCATATCATCTTTAAACATTGCTGGGGCTGGTTTATATTCTGGATCTTCTACATCCCTGTTAAAATTTCAGCACAGTAAAATAATCCATTTTAATACTCTTTTAAAAGGACCTATTCTGTTTGTATTATGCAAAGCAATTCTAAATCAAGATGGATTTATTCTCTGGTTAACTTTCTACTGGGAAATCTCAGTCACTGTACTTTGGAGGGGAAAAAAACACTACAACAGGAACTATGGCTTCGACATTTTCCCTCTTTCCTGCCCCACAATCACCCCAAGAGGTCTTCTATGTCTGTGGCCCTAAATTGTGGCCACCAAACCTCTGTCTCATGAAAAATGAACCACCACTCCTCTTTGGAGGCTGTCAATGCTACTCAAATTGATTTAAAGGGGTTGCTGTTTAGCAACACTAGGCATTCCTGGCCTCTAGAGAAAAGGTTGACTAATATGGTAGCAACTCCCAATTCCTGCTGGCTTTTGTACTGAGGAATCAAACTCACATCTCTCATATAGCAATGCAAAGCACTATCACTGCCACATGGATAACCTAAGTTTTTATGTTACCAATGAATTCCCATGTGTAAATATTGTGCTATAAATACACTGGGCCTGATTTTCTTTTCACTTACACTGGAACACACCAGAAATAATGTCATTTACATCAATCAGCTTACACTGGTGTAAAAATAGTGTGAGAAGAGAACCAGGCCCAGTGTATAAGTTTAGTTCAGTTTACATCAAACAGCTTGTAACTAAACATTCATACCCATCAATGTAATCATTTGCTCTCTGTTCAGCAGCAACTGCTTTCTCATCTGGTTTGCCCACTCTTTCCAAGAAACACAGTGCAGGATCTGCTCTAATAGTGTTGTACTTTTCATACCCTGAATGGGAAGAGGCAACAACATAAAAGTGATTTTTTAAAAGAAGGCATAAAAGGAAACGAGGAAAGGTTTGTGTCGGGGAGGGTGGGGGGGAAATATATATATCTATTTAGTCATCCAGTAATCCTTATTACTTACCATGCTTAAAAACTCCAATTAGGAGGGATTTATCTGCATCTGCATCCCACCACTCTGCAGGGACCTCAGAATGCTCTGGCTCAGGGACCCAAACATCAACTTCACTGAAAAATTCATCAATAAAACAAACATAAATCTACACAGGGAAGGATGAAATTTAATTTGTCTTTGTTATTCCACATTTTATATCTCAATTTTCAATAGAAAGCAGCAATAATTTTACATATCCAAACACACAAAAACCAGCCTCTGATCAACAAGCTAAACATCATTTTATTCACAGCTTCCAGGTCTGTTAAAAGACAGAGTATATAGGCCACATTCTCTTTTGCAAAAATATCTGTCAGCTGTCATTCCAAGAAAGAAAAAAAAAAGCACTGACATGCATAAATCATAAACAGTGCAACATGAATGAAAAGGACAATTTTTTCACTGAGAACTGAGAGCTTTGGTAATTTGCAGCTAAATTAAAGCACATAAATTGCTTTTGATGGCACTGAAACCAATGAAGGTTTTGCCATTAACGTCAATGAGAGTCAAAAGAGATCCATTATCTGAATTCTGTTACTAAAAAGCATGGGAATCCTGCTGACAGAGTATAAATCAGGTGAATTTTTATTTGTCCTAAATATATTTATATTTCCTAAAACTTTGAATTGCTAATGATAAAAAAGTAAATACAACAAAAACAGTTTTTTCATGGGCAAAAATGGTAAATTTTACTTGTTCTTCCCTGAGAGGTATTCTGAATTTTTACTTAATAGTCTACATTTAAAAACAAGCAAAAAAACTTCAGTATAGTTCACCTGGCATCAACTCCATCAAACACTTTTTGGCATTCATTACCAATGACTTCTTGTTTTAAGTAATACAGCATTCTTACTCGAAGCAAGACCCTAAAAACAAGCACATAGAAGAAACAGACATTAGAACGCTATCAATATTTATGTTTGGAAGGCTTTTTTTGTGCAATTAACTAGTTACTCGTTTTTTTTCAATTCTGCTTTTTCCTGAAATACAGGGGAAACTGGCAGTGATCCTATACTTAGGCTGCCTAACATTTAAGATTCGTACAACCTTTACCTGAGAATCTCTAAGACGGGGATCGGCAACCTTTGGCACGCAGCCCACCAGGGTAAGCCCCCTGGTGGGCCGGGCCGATTTGTTTACTTTCGACATCCGCAGGTTTGGCCGATCGTGGCTCCCACTGGCCGCGGTTCGCCATCCCAGCCAATGGGGGCTGCGGGAAGTGGTGTGGGCCAAGGGATGTGCTGGCCCCTGCTTCCAGCAGCCCCCATTGGCCTGGAGCGGCAAACTATGACCAATAGGAGCTGCGATCGGCCAAACTTGTGGACGCAGCAAGTAAACAAACCGGCCCGGCCACCAGGGGGATTACCCTGGTGGGCTGTGTGCCAACGGTTGCCGATCCCTGCTCAAAGACCTCCATTCTTTGCAACAAGCCTTTGAAATTCAAGAGGGAAAAAGGCCTTTGGCTAGAGACATGCCTTTTCTTGTCCCCTGAAATTCTGTTCAGGTTTGGCTGAGTTATAAACTGCTAAAAATTGCCATTTCCCTTCCCTCACTTGCATTCCTCAGGAAAAATGCTGGCTGCCCACCAATATCACGTTCTAGAAAGCCAGGCCAACGGCAAAGCATCACTGCCACACACTATACCACATCACTGCCACACACACTATACTGCCAGAGCAGCAGGGAGAACAAGAGTCAGTCTGGACAAGCCTCCTGCCCCCTGCAAGAACCTTCCAGCATCCAGCAAATGGTCCATCTGCCCCTTTGAGGGAACTACATGCAACAGGAACTCCTCAAACTCATGAGGGAGTGGGAGGAACACCGTCAAAAGATGAACTTGGGAGCTTAAATTCATAACTTTGCTACATACTAACAATCGAGGACTGAACAGAGACACTGAATTTATTGCTTATTACTACAATCTATAAGCCCATGGGCTGCATGTCACATAGGCTGGGGAAGGCTGTGCCTCCACAAACAGCCCCGTGTGGCCCCACCCACTCTCCTCCCTGAGCCTCCTCCTGGCTTGCTCTTCCCCCTTGGCCCCAGCCCAGGCAGGCTGCTCCTCTTTCAGGGCAGCGTGTTGGGGCTAGGGCAGCCGGGACTTGGGGGCTGGGGGTGGGAGGGGGAGACACCCAGCATTGGGGGGCACCAGGCACTGGGGTCACACCACCCAGCACTCAGGGGCAGGAGGCACTGGGGCTGCCTGCCCTGTGCTTGGGGGAAGCTGGGGGCATTGAGGCTGAGGAGGCAGTGCACCGGTCACCCTGAGCTCGGGGGGAGTGCGCCCTGCACTTGGTGGGGCTGCGTGCTGCCCACCCTGTGCTCAGGGGGGAAAGGGGACAATGCGCCCACCCTGCACACGGGACTGGGGGGGCTGTGGCAGGGGCCTCCCCCAGCCGGCGATTCACCCGCCACACCTGTATAAGCCATTTAACCCCCAAACCTCCCACTCAGCTTTTTTCCCCCCTCTATGACTGGAGAGATGTTAACAGCACTTCACCTTGAGTGGTCCTTTGAAATGTGTGTTAAATATTAATGCTAAACATTCCGTTCTAACCTTATATTTAGCTGTCACTCTGAGCACGTTTCCCAGACCTGAAGAAGAACTCTGTGTAAGCTCAAAAGCTTGTCTCTCTCACCAACAGAAACTGGTCCAATGAAAGATATTACCTCATCTGCATATCTCACTAGAAACTCACTCATTTGTTTCCAAGTCCAAATGTAACTGCCAAACAAACCTACACTGTATCTCCAGAGTGAAAATCCTGACCCCACTGACATCAGTGTGATTTTTTCGCATTGACTTCATCTGGCCAGGATTTCACCCTTGACTAAACTAAGCCAAGGCCCCATGGTAGTTGCCAAACTACTAGCCAGGCCATACGTGAAATAGGAAAAGCCAAGCTTGCAATGTTTTAGTCACATACCTTGCTAAATGCCGTAGTGACAAATATCATATAAGGAGTGGACTTTTATCAGTGTTAGTGAAGCTGACTCTTGTAAAAGAGAATATATTGGGGAAACAGCTCTCACAAACAGATAACAGAGCTGTCAAGCGATTAAAAAATTAATTGTGATTACTCGTGTGATAAAAAAATCATCGCGATTAATCACACCTTAAACAATAATAGAATACCATTTATGTAAATATTTTTGGATGTTTTCCACATTCTCAAATATATTGATTTCAATTACAATATAGAATACAAAGTATACAGTGCTCATTTTATATTATAAATATTTGCAGTGTAAAAATAAAAGAAATAGTATTTTTCAATTCACTTAATACAAGTACTGTAGTGCAATCTCTTTATCATGAATGTTGAACTTACAAATGTAGAGTTAATTACAAAAAATAACTGCATTCAAAAATAAAACAATGTAAAACTTTAGAGCCTTCAAGTCCACTCAGTCCTACTTCTTGTTCAGCCAATCACCCAGATTGTTTACATTTGCAGGAGATACTGCTGCCCGCTTCTTGTTTACAATGTCACCTGAAAGTGAGAACAGGTGTTGGCATGGCACTGTTGCAAGATATTTAAGTGCCAGATGTGCTAAAGATTCATATGTCCCTTCATGCTTCAACCACCATTCCAGAGGACATGCGTCCATGCTGATGAGGGCTTCTGCTCAATAACGATCCAAAGCGGTGCTGACCAACGTACGTTCATTTTCATCATCAGAGACATGTCACCAGCTCCAGAACTCGTGTTCTTTGAGATGTGTTGCTCATGTCCATTCAACCTAGGTGTGTGTGGATACTGCTGAGGGAAAAACTTTCGGCACTGCTGCATGCGGTGAGCACACACACTTAAGTTGAATGGACTGAGCAATCACTCGAAGGAGGAGGAGGTTGATTTTCTTTTTTGGTGGTTCAGGTTCTGTAGTTTCCGCATCGGAGTGTTGCTCCACACCTCATCCCGCTCAGATTTTGGAAGGCACTTCAGATTCTTAAATCTTGGGTCGAGTGCCGTAGTTATCTCACACTGGTACCTTCTTTGAGTTTTGTCAAATCTGCAGTGAACGTGTTCTTAAAACAAACACACTGGGTTCCGAAACTGCTATAACATGAAATATATGGCAGAATGCAAGAAAACAAAAAGCAGGAGATATACAATTCTCCCGCAACCAGTTCAGTCACAAATTTAATTAACACATTTTTTTAATGAGCATCATCACATGGAAGCATGCCCTCTGGAATGGTAGCCAAAGCATGAAGGGGCATACAAATGTTTAGTGTATCTGGCACGTAAATACCTTGCAATGCCGGCTACAAAAATGCCTCCATTGTCACTTTCAGGTGACACTGCAAATAAGAAGCGGGCAGCATTATTTCCCATGAATGTAAACAAACTTGTTTCTCTTAGCCATTGGCTGCCCAATAAGTAAGACTGAGTGGACTTGTAGGCTCTAAAGTTTTACATTGTGTTGTTTTTGAGTGTAGTTATGTAAAAAAAAAAAAACTAAAATAAAATAAAAATCTACATTTGTAAGTTGCGCTTTCATGATAAAGAGACTACACTATGGTTCTTGTAGGAGGTAAATTGAAAAAAATTATTTCTTTTATCATTTTTACAGTGCAAATATTTGTAATAAAAATAAAGTGAGTGCTGTACATTTTGTATTCTGTATTGTAATCGAAAAAACATTTACCTACCTTTCGTAACTGTTCTTCGAGATGTGTTGCCATGTCCATTCCATTCTAGGTGTGCACACAACCCACGTAAGCAGCCGTCAGAGATTTTTGCCTTAGCAGTACCCGTAGGGCTGGCTGTAGCGCCCTCTAGCGTCCTGTGCCCATGCCGTGATATATTAGGCGCTGCCGGCCCAGGCCCTCTCACTTCCTTCTTGCCAACAACTCCGACAGAAGGGTAGGAGGGTGGGTAATGGAATGGACATGAGCAACACATCTTGAAGAACAACAGTTATGAAAGGTAGGTAATCATTTTCTCTTCTTCGAGTGCTTGCTCATGTCAATACCATTCTAGGTGACTCGCAAGCCGTATCAACAGAGGTAGGCTTGGAGTTCACCATCATTCAGCTTGTAGTACGGCTCTGCCAAAGTGTCATCTCGCGCCTGCTGAGTCAGTGCGTAGTGCAACACGAACATACGGACGGACGACAAGGTGATGGCCCGACAGATCTCTTGAATCGGCACCTGCACCAGGAAGACGTCTGCACTCTAGTGGAATGAGCTGTCACAAACGCTGGTGGGGCCACTTTCACCAGCTCATAGCACTGGCAAATGCACGCCATAAACCAAGACTAAATTCTCTGGGCTGACACCAGGCAGCCCTTTATCCTGTCCATGACAGCAACAAACAACTGTGTTGACTTACGGAACAGCCATGTTCTATCAATGTAGAAGGCCAACACCCGTCTGATATCCATCGTATGCAACCTGAACTCCTCATCTGAGGCTACAGACAGAGGACTGGTAAGTAGATGTCCTGGCCCATGTGGAACTGGGACACAAACTTGGGCAGAAAAGCTAGATGCAGGCGCAGCTGGACCTTGTCCTTGTAGAAAACTGTACTGGGTATGTTATTGCCCTGATCTCCGCCAAGCCGACATTATGGCGACCAGGAAGGACACCTTCCAAGAAAGAAGCAGGAGAGATCAGGAAGCTAAGGGTTCAAAGGGAGGGCCCATGAGCTTCCAGAGCACCAGATTTAGGTCCCACAGAGGAACCGGATAACGGATGTGCAGGTTCAGGTGCTCTAAACCTTTCAGGAACCGCGCTGTCATGGGATGGGCGAAGACAGACGTGCCCTGAAGCAGAAGGTGGAATGCAGAAATGACCACCAGGTGCAACTTGACCAAAGACAGCGACAAGCCTTGAAGCTTTAAGTGCAGCAAATAG